AGGATCTTTTTCCTGACGAACTCCCTGAGGGCCTTCCCCCAGACCGGGGAGTAGCTTTGACTATTCCCCTAGAAGAGGGAACGAAACCGGTAAAGCGACCAGCTTTTCGGTACAGTCCAAAGGAAATGGACGAGATCAAATCACAGGTAGATTACCTGCTGAGAAAAGGTCTGATCACGGAGAGCAGTAGTCCATTTGGGGCTCCAGTACTTTTTGTACCAAAGCCTGATGGCAGCCTCCGAATGTGTATAGACTATGGAGCACTAAATAAAGCCACTATTAAGAATAAGTGGCCAATCCCTCGGATAGATACCCCTTTGGATCAATTGCAAGGGGCCAAGATCTTTTCGGCTATAGACTTGCAGCAAGGGTATTATCAACTCCGGATTGACAAGGCCGACTATGCCGAAACGGCTTTTGTGACGCCGTTGGGCCTTTACGAGTTCAAGGTACTCCCTTTTGGACTCGCAAATGCCCCAGCAATATTCCAGCAGACGATGCACCATGTATTTGGTGGTCAAATTGGCAAACACGTTTTGGTTTACCTGGACGACATCTTAGTGTTTAGCCAAACTACTGAAGAACATCTTAAGCACCTAAGACAGGTGTTAGAAGTGCTACAACAACAGAAATTGTATTGTCGTATGCACAAGTGTCAGTTCAATAAGGAGGAAATCTCCTATCTGGGACATGTGGTGTCTCAAGAGGGTATACGCCCAGATCCCAAAGGGATCGAAAAGGTTAAGAATTGGCCTGTACCACAATGCGTGAAGCATGTACAGCAGTTCCTCGGGTTGGCAAACTATTTTCGAAAGTCCATACAGGGATATTCAAAAATGGCTACTCCCTTGATAGACTTGACCAAACAGAATGGCAAGTGGGAGTGGACCGCGAAATGTCAAGAGACGTTTGAGCATATAAAAGAGTGCTTAACCACAGCTCCATTGCTCAAGATGCCAGACCCTGAGAGGCCTTTTGAGGTCATAGCAGATGCCTCTCAGACTGCAGTGAGCGCAGTTCTGATGCAAGATAATCATCCAATCTGCTATGCCAGCAGAAAGTTCCTCCCAGCGGAGTTGAAATATAGTGTGACGGACCAAGAAACGTTAGCTTCTATTTATGTTGTCCAGTTATGGAGGTGTTACCTTGAAGGGACACGCTTCAAACTGGTGACAGACCATTGTCCGTTAACTTACCTTAAGTCACAACCACAACTGAGCCGAAGACAGGCCAGGTGGTCTGAAATCTTAAAACAATTTGATTTTGATTGGGAATATCGCCCAGGGCGAAAGAATGTGGCTGATCCACTCTCTCGCATTCCTCCATCTCCCGACGAACGGGAAGCCAGGAGGAAAAGTCAACTGATTGTCTATGGCTTAAGAGTAATACACAAGCAGGGAAATAAGAAAAAGAGGGTAGAGGCAGAAGATCTGGCCTCCAGGATCCGTCGGGCCTATGGCCAGGATCCCAAGCTTGCGTCTATAAAACAGTAGCAAGAGATGCGCTGTATAGACGGGTTATGGCTGCGAGGCAAACAGGTATATATACCAGCCAGTCTGCGGACTGAGATCTGCCAGTTGGCTCACGACCATCCAAGTGCAGGACACTTTGGTCAAGCCAAGACCCTGGACTTGGTCCAGAGGCATTATTGGTGGCCAGGAATGCGACGAGAAATACAACTATATGCTGATGCTTGCCCTATTTGTCAATAGGCCAAGTACTCTCATCAAAAGACCCCAGGCTTATTACAGCCTCTGGGCATTCCTGAGGAGCCATGGACTGAATTGTCCATGGACTTCATTACACAACTGCCAAAAACTAAGGGAGGTCATGATGCTATCGTCGTGTTCGTCGATAGAATGACCAAAATGGTCCGCTTTGCAACCACGACCACTGAGCTCTCCACAGAGGGAGCAACCGAGCTGTTGGTGCAAAATGTGATAAGGCACCATGGTCTCCCCTCTCAAATAGTGTCCGACAGAGACGTTTGGTTCACTTCTAGGTTTTACCGGTACCTGGTCGAGAGGTGGAAGATTCAGCTCAACATGAGCACTGCGTACCATCCGCAAATGGATGGCCAGACTGAAGTCATGAATCGGATTCTGGAGGATTACTTACGCAGCTATACGCATTCTGACCATGACGCGTGGGATGAACTGTTAGCCATGGCCGAGTTTGCAATGAACAAGTTGAAAAACAGTTCCACCCAAGAGACCCCGTTCTACTTGAACTACGGTCAACACCCAAAGAGTCCCTTAGCTCTTGGGGTGCAAATTCGGAAGCCTTTGAAGGGCTATGACAATCCGAATGCCCGTGGCTTGGCAGTGGCCATTGATAGGGCATAGCAGCCTTACTTAAGGCATACTGGTACACCCCTCGTGGAGGGCCTACCAGCCGTGACACGATTTGATCACCATGTCAAATCAGCACTGAAAGAGGCCAGGGCATGCTTAGAAAAAGCATGGGATAGGCAGTCAAAGCATGCTGACCGCCATCGGAGGGATGTGTCGTTTAATAAAGGAGATGACGTCCTCCTTTCGACACAGCATATCACCCTCAAGCACCCTGGAACTCGAAAACTACTACCGAGGTGGATTGGGCCCTTCACCATCCTCGACCGGATAGGTCCTGTCGCATATCGACTGGAACTTCCGGAAAGCATGCATAAGATACATCCGGTATTTCATGTGTCAAAGATTAAGCTGTATAAGGCCAGTGGCAGGGTACAGCCACCTCCAGTCCCTATCGAAATCGAAGGGGAGCTGGAATATGAAGTTGAACGTATTTTGGACAAAAGAATTAAAAAGCGCGGAAGGCGCCAAAACTCGGTAGAGTACCTTGTCAAATGGCTGGGATATGGACATGAGCATAATAGCTGGGAATCAGCAAAAGCAGTTGCAAATGCACAGGAACTGGTTCAAGCATTTGACAATGGAAGAACTCCTGTCGTGCATGTATCAACTGATCGAAGTACGAAACGTACATATTGAAATAAGCTCATGTGTGGTTATGCCTTTGACAGGTCTTGCTAAAATGGGCACAGAAGCAAACCGGTTATACCAGACCCCATATAAGTACGCTGTTTGGACACATGAACGCTATGTCCACAGCTATTTTGAACGGGGAACGCTTGGCCACCGACCAGCCATTGATCCAACCCCCTTGTGAGCCCATTCGTGGACGAGGGCGAGGACGAGGTACTTCGCAGCCTCGGGGAGGACATAGCTGGGCATATAGTGGTAGCAAGTATTTGAGTCGGGGTCGGGGACGTGCAGGTTAGCCTGCATGTTCCACATGTTTCCCTTGGATGGGCATAGGCTGGAAGGTCAGAACCTTGCAGCCGAAGTGCTGAACGAAGAGTTTTAATGAGGGTTGTCAAAGGCCGGCAGGTCATGTAAAACAACCACTCTTTCTCTTCACTACAGTATGTATAATGTATGTATGACTATCGTGCAAACTGGGCATGTGGCAATCCGCACAGCCAGTTGCCGTATACATACATAATGTTTCTACTCCTGTATCTGCGCATTGGGATGAGGACGCCCCTCTCCCTGAGGGGGACGAATGTTACGCGCACCGGCCTAATGTGGGGAACGCCCTACTACTGGCCCTTGGTGTGGGGGACGCCCTGCCCAAGATAACTATCCTCAACCCATAATAACCGCTTTAGGTATTAGGATACGGGAGTAGGAGGGGTGGTCCCGCCTAGGTCCCTGTAAGGACCTAGGTGCCTGGCGAGGCGGGTCCGCGGCTCAAAGAGGGCAAGAACCCCACACGCACAGACTTTACATATCAGGCATTTCAAAAGCCTAGGGGCACCAACAACTTTTAAATAAGTTCAACAAAGTCTTATGCTATATAGATAACTAATTCCCACTTAAAAAATCCAATTGAGTCTAACCCCAAGCAACCACATCATAAATTTGCACCCAAATCAAAATTTTGATGTAGAGTTGCCAACTCAGTAGTACATTGCAATTCGCAAGGTTGAAGGCATCACTGATGGTGTTATCTTTGACCAAAACAACCTCCATAGGGAGTTCCAGTATCAATGCAATACAATGTTATCACCGAGGTGCCGCTGCTATTTGGGTCGAGTCGAATGATCGAGTATTTTTGTTCCTGATTTTCTTCACTTGAAGCAGCCGCAATTGCTTGGCTAAAGTTGTGCGTCATGACAACATTGTTGTTGTACCATGGGCGGTCACATATTTGGTGCCCAAAGCTCCAGGGCCATGGTAATGTTTATCATTTGTGTTTTCCTATCAAAGATTGGCACACAGGTGTGGAAGTCCCTGGGGATGGCAAAATTAGGATTTGCATAATTGTGGGGTGTGCCCATATTGTTAAATATGAGGAACAAAGTTTGTTGCTGTGCTAGTAGAAGCTCCACTAATTTCCTTTCTTTGGTGACTGTCCGTATGCGTTGTAGATAGAAGCAAGCAGTTGCAATGAACAAATAAAACAAGATCGCTTTTGGATGCAGACATTCCACAATCGGTCGGAGGTCCAAGGTCCCCGCTTTGCCTTTGAAAGTCTAAATAACATGAAGGAAATTTTGTGGCGAGAGGGCAATTCAATAACCCATGAGTCATGCACGACGGTTTGAATGCAATCCCAGGTATTGCCGTCCTAGATATTGCCACCTTATATGCCGATTGGTCACTGTATCCTATCCAATACACAATCAATCATCCCTTCAGGCATTGGGCAGTCAAGGGGTAAGCGACGCCCGCACTTGTCACACCCAAAGGCTTTTTCCCACACGCCAAGGGGCATGTAGACCATACAGCCCTTCATGCGGACGTTGAGCTATTCCAGCATTGTATCAACAAAGAGGGGGGCATTTGTCCAATGCTGCGATTTACATGTGCAAGAATCCCAATAATCTCATCTACACATCTTGAACTCTGTAATCCCTAATGCCAATCTCTGGAGCTACTTCTGGCAGCTCCGTGTATTGAAAAACAGGCGGAAGCGCCCTGTAATGTGACTTTGTTTCATTGCCTTGTTCCTTGACCGCCTGTCATGATTTGCAATAGACACTCTTCACGCTGTTGCATGACCACCAACTTGACCCGTTGATCCTGTGCAATGGAAGATTCCAAGTTTCAAGATGGAATTTTCACCTGTGCGCAGACTGGTGGGTACAACACATGGACATCGTAACTTCACTGCAGCGCAATGTGGGCGCAATGCCTCGATTTGACCTCCGGACCAAACGGGGTTTTGACATTTGTATTGATTCAATGCACAGCTGAACCTGACGCAGTGTAAGGAATTTGTGATCGATACAATCAAGGCAAATTTTGTGGATAGCAACATGGCAAAGTAACAACTTTCTCCGGAAATAGCATGTGAGAGGTATCACCTGTGGGCCATACATAGGCCATTCACTGTTATTATTATTGTTTGGTTTGAGCAGGCAGAAGAGAATGGTGCTGTGTAAGCCAGTCATACCCAATCTTTTTCATCAGGTGCTTGACTGTTGAAGGCTGCCTCAATGTTTCAAATTCTCTGAACAACTTGTGGGCGCAGCATAAAAGAATCGCAACCAGACCAAAGCTTTTGAGAACGCACTGTATTACGTTCCACGTTATAAGCATATTATTTTCGATTCTGTTGAGGTTTCCCACCTGCACATCCTCTTTAAGTCGCTCCAACAGACCGCAGGCCTTTACGTCATCTTTTAAGTGGCCCTTCAGCAAGCGGCATATCTCTGTTGGCCCTGACGACCTCGCTTTCAGCAGTTCTTTCCCCGTTAGCTCCTCCTTCGTGGGCAGCTGTGCAAGGATTTCGGATCGGTCAAACTTGCGGGCCGCCACTGCCTGTGACTGCGCCCTGCAGCGCACCAGGCGCCCCTCCAAAACTTCCTGTTGCCTCTCGTGCTCTTCGCGACTGGTTTCTAACCTGGGTTGGAAATGCAAAAGGGGATTTCGCCCCGTTGCAGATTTTCAAATGCCATCAAAGCACTGAAATAGAAGGGTCCGTGCCGCTGTGGTTCCATGAAAGGTATTCGCAATTGTTGCAACAGTGCGCTTGAATATATCTATTCGAACTCTTGCCATTGTGTGCAGTTGCATCTTGATGAATTACCGCATTTCACCGACCATCGTCGAATTAGCACATCTTCGATATATCACATCCCATGGCGACATTTCATGGCTCCGTTCAGGCCATTGCACTTCTCGTATTCCAGATGCAGCAGATATTTGCATTCACTCATGCAACGCCATGGCCGAAAGCATCACAGCATCAACGCGAAACTATTCACAAAGGGATTATTATCCGAATGCTCAAAGTAAAGAAAAGCGTTTTGGAGCACTCCGAGAGACCCGCTTGCCGGCAATTTTCGCTTGCTTTCAATACACACAGCCATGCCCTCCAGGAGACGAGATTCAAAATCACCCCACATTCTGTGTTGTTTTGTGATCTTGAGCAAGGTTTCAGGGGAATGGCGCGTTTTAGGGTCTATAATTCCCGCATCGGACTTGCAACGGTGAAACACATACGCACACACGAGCACGTGCCTCTTTGTCTCGCTCTCCAAGGCGCTGATCCTGGATGACGCCTCCGCTGCCTCAAGCTGTAGGGTGACTATTTCGCGGTCGCGCTCAGCGAGTAGTTGTTCGAGCTTGTGGCATTGCTGGGATCCAACAGTGGCCTGCTTTCTGGTGCCAGATGCGCAAACGGAAATCGCTTGACGAAACATACCATGCATCTGAAACTAACTAACAGAACATGTGCACAGCAGGACACGTCCGTTGTGACTGTTATCCAGGGTGGAACCTGGAAGAGTTTTGCCAAAAACAGCCCAATGAAACGTTGGTGGCCTTGGCTCAGATTGTCAGCATTCAAAGGCACAGTTTTAGGTATCGCATTGCAAAGGTGACATCTGCTACTGTGTTCTGGATTACACAGCAAATGGATCGAAAGTGCACCAACATTCCACTGTTCTACGAACAAGGCGCGCTGTTTTTGCGCAAATCTTTCGAATTCTTGTAAGCTTGCTCACATTTCAATTGCTGTTTCGAAATTTGCATGGGGTGTGTCGATGCCGTCTCCCCCTCGCAGATGCTTAAAACCCTAATGCGTATTGTGATCGTCTCTGGTCATCCACGCTCTTGCCTGTGCACTTGAAACATCCGTTCCTTCCTCTTGAGCTCTTCATTTTCCTTCCTGATTGCCGTTTTCTCGAGCTCCAGGCGCTGTACTTGTCGTTTCGCAAGCTGCAGTCGCTGAGAAGAGGCCGTCGCGTCGTTGTTGTGTTCTGGTGAACCTGTTTTTGGGGTGTTTGTTTTAGGTGTCGGCATGTTGACCTCCGCCAGCAAGGCGATAAAAGGCTGATGCTGCTGTTCACGACTGTGTCCCAAACGTGCGTCGCTCAAACTTCACATTGTGGCGATTCATGCTTGTGCTTGGTAAAAAGTGGCACACTGACAAACGTGCCAAAGGCTGCAGCTTCGGTCTCTGGAGCTCTACTTAAGTCGTGAGTTGTCAACGCAAACCTGCACCGTCATGTGCAATTCCGCATTGCACTTCTTTGGAGCGAATCGCTCCAAAGAAGTTGGTGAGCTGCCGCTGCATTGTTGGCACGCTGCGAATAGCTCGATGTGGAGACTTTGCATGATGCCTGAAGTGGTTCTGCGTTGCCATACTGCATGGCTTTCTTGCTCTAGCAAGCCCTCAGTGAACGGTAGCATTCCCTTATTCAATTCTCCAATTTCAACAATGCTGTTGTGCATCCATTTGTCCGTGTGTTTGCGCACCGAGACTGGCTACGCACTTGGACGTTGTTTTGAGACCTCCGAGTCAGCGAGTTTCCGGGCAAGGCAAAAGTTCTCTTCATCGAGCCTCTGAATTTCCTGTTGAAGTTTCTCCACCTCGCGCTCATATTTTTCAAAAACCTCTGAGAACGTGCTTTCACTCTGGAGCTGCACGCACCGGGTCTTCAGCGCCAGCTGGTTCATTTTGGAATTATCGAGCTCCACCTAAGATCCAAGACAGCCAAGTCAAATTGCGCCTGCGCGCACAGAGCTGCTGCCTTATTATGTTCAGTATCATGCATTCGTTTGCACCCTTCCAAGATGTTGCCTGCATGATTTACATTGCCCAAGGGGCTTGCATCCAGGAAATCCTGACATTTTAGCGCAGAGGCATAGTTTTTGGAAACATTGAGTACTGTCCTCATGGGTGCAATGGCTGGCATGATGATGGGGGTTGGGTGGCATTGTGAGGTGCCATGTCAAGTGCATCCCTCACCCATTTTTAGCCACGGCGTTGAATCAGCAGAGAAAGTTTATTCCACTCTCATCCTTGCAAAAACCAAGCACTCGCTGTATCTGTTGCTATGCATCTGGCAACCTGCTCACACCCCTAATGCTTGGAAACTGCTACTGTGCTCTGCCTGTGCACAAAAACGACCCACAAAATCATAAACCTGGACATCTGCTTTGTTGTTTTGAAAACATCAGTCACTTTCCAGGCTCCTCAGCACTGTTGCCACCTGGCCTCATCAGGTTAATGTCACAGTTCTTTCTGCCAGTGCCCGCAACGCTTGGTGTGGGGCTCTTGACTCTTGATGTCACCAGGCCATTGGGGGCCCTCTAAATGCATTTCCTTCAGCACAACGCCATGGCTCATAATATGGTGAACAAACCTGCATGTTGTTGACGGGTCGTTCTGCCTGCGATTGCGTTAGAAAGATGCCTTTGCGAAGAAACGCCGTTTTCACAATTCGAGCCCAAGCTCCACTAACCTTGAACTGCAAAACACGGTGGGGGATGCACAGTTCATGGACATGCCGCACAGCGAGGGATGGGGAAGAGGCCGTCAAAATTCAGGCTGGGGAGGGAGTGCTCACTCCATGGCCCGCTCCCTGCCCTCAACAGCTGTCACGGTCTCCACCATGGGCCACCAACGCCAAACCGCGTCGCCGAACAACACCCCAACAGCACAGCCACACTTCCCTGCGAAGCGGCACTGCCCCCCGGCCCTAAACCGCTCATTTCACGGCACTCCAGCGGCTGAGAAACCGTGGGGCAACTGCTCCTGGACGTACCACGGATGGGACATGACTTGTAACGTCGAAACCTTTGTTTTGAAGAGATCCCAATTTAATGGAGAACTCTCCCCACCCGCACTTGCCTCGTACTTGGTGGCCACCTCCAGGGCGTCCATCTCCGCGCGCTTCAGCCGCTCCCGAAGTCCCTCTGAGTTCCTCCTCTCCCTGTCCAGCAGCGTCAGAAGCGTCTCGTTGGCCTGCCGCGCCTCCTCCGCCTCCCCGCCCCCCTCCAAAGGCCCCGCCCCGTCATTCGTGGCGAACGGATCCACACTCGCATCCATCACATCCCCCGCCGAGGGGACCGGGCTCTCGCACTCCTCTTCTACAGGCGGCGGCCCACCAATGAGCTGACGATCCCAGGGCTCGCCGCTGGGAGACTCGCAGAGCCGATCGCGGGATCGGCCTGGAATCGATCCCCGCGGCGAGAAATGTGAGGGGTCCGCCGCCGGCGCCAGGGCCTGACCGCCGATCGGGAATTCGACCGCCCGGCGGTGGGCGGGGGAGCTGGACCGGCGCGAAGCGGGGGCGGGGGCAGGAGGGTGTGCGCCAACGGCTGGCTGGGGGGCAGCCGGGAGGCGGGTGCTGGGCCCGGGGGCCCGTGCTTGGGTTTCGGCCTGTGCGGTGAGCGCAGGGGCGTCATCTCGGAAGAGGAACGGACAGAGAGGCGATTGACCCGGGGATTATGCGCGAAGACTTCGGCGTTCAATTCATCCCTCAACTTGGGGGCTCTGTTCGAGTGCACCGGGAATCAAATATCCAGTTTGCACGATCTTTGTTTGCAATACTCGTGATGGCTTTTGGACAATTTGCATCAATGGCGTCGTGTCTGTATTGAAAATAACACCGAGCATTAACAATGGCCATCACGTATTGTTTGCGGTACGTACGACCCGCTTTCCCAAGTAATTTCTGCGCGGAATCGCTCCCCATGATGGTAAACAGCCTTGGGCAGTGACACCGCAGGCACATAGAACGAAGGCGTGTGTGGCACTCTGGAACAAATTTGAAAGGAATTTCGAAAAAATTCACGTTGTTACCATGTCTCTGTGATTGGCAGTCTGCCATTGCTTTACGAAATTATGCCCAGAGGGAGTTGTAAATTTTTGAACAACTGTCAGGAAATCAAGTTGCTGGGGACGTCTTTGAAATTTGTAAAGCTTTTACCCAGCTCCTGCTACATCTTTCCCAGTACTGCGAAGTACATGGGTAATCGAGCTGTTGAACAAGTGCGTGTTTCGATCGCTCGCCAAAAGGCAGCCAGAAATTTTGCAATACGGGACGGGCAATTGCTGTTTTCACCTTTTCCTTTTTTGTTCCACAAACATCCTCTCCTAGTCACTTGCGTGCACTGCAATTGTCGCCTGTTGGCTACGTGCACTTGTCAGCCTTTTGGGCAAAAATTAGTTGGTGCACGTATTACCACAAAAACACTGTTGTCTCCCACTCTCTTGGCCACCAAGCCCATCCCACCTTCCCACAGCTGTTGAGCGCCGTGGACGCATTCCCGCTGCCCACAGCGCCATCCACCACGAAGCCGTACAATCGGCGAAACTCATCTCTTAGCTCCTGTATTTGCTGCCGCAGATCCTCTTCCAGGCTGGCGTTGGTCCGGGGGGTAAAGGACGGCGCTTCCAGGGGCGCATTTCCCAGTCGCAGGTGGCTGGCGCCATCCGAAAGGGTTTCTGTGGTTCGTGTAGGTGATGGCTTGGTAATTCTGTCGCACCTGCACACGGGGCCTTTTGTCACGCATGATGGTCACAAAATCTGCTGAGCTGCCATTCGCTGATTAATCTCAGAAGGGCTGGCTTGGCAACTGAATTGCAACGTTTTGGTACACCGTGCGGCCTGAGCTGACCCACGCAGTGGCACGTAGGTTTCCCCAAAATGGGGCGCTCTAATCGCCACATTGATAAGAGCACAACAGTGCGGCACTTGTGCGATATTTCCGAGTCCATAAGCCCAACTTCGTCTTGATGTTGCGATCCTTAGCCCCGCCGTGGCAGTGTGTGCAACAGGTACCATTGGAAATACTTGCATCAGTTCGTGCGCCCCCACTGCGGCGCTCCATGAGACCATCACCTACAGCGTTCTCGGCCATGTCTTCGCAACTTGAGATCTTGCCCGGCGCTGCTGAGTCCCGCAGCGCCTCCGACGCCGCACCAATGGCTCCCTCGCGACTCTCCGGCGCAATCACCGACCTGAAAATCGTCATGCTGTCCATCACAAACGGTGATTGGCTGACGTTAGTGTGTTCACATTAATTATTTTCACTGTTGGTGGCAATTCACGGCCAACTTTGAGTTGCTTGTGCGTGCTCCTCATCTGGGCAGCTTGGTGCTGTGTGTCCAAATCATGTAAAAGGCAAAGGCGCATGCGCTTCGGCCACGACTAACCGACAGAGCATCTGGGTCTCCCGTTTCGTTGTCCTCTCCAACCGCTTTCCTTTTAATCCTGTGTCTGGATCTCGCGTGTCTCCATTCCGCCTCTCGTAGTTTCCCATAACAGGGTGCATCGCTGGCTGCAGGGCTGCAAAGTAAAGAATCGTGTCTCGCATTCCATTTTCTGACTGCGAAGTTGGCTTTGTTGAAGGACATAATTTCCGGTGTGTGAATCGTGCTTCATACATTTTTTTTAGGAAACGCAACAAGAGGCATATTCTCATGGGTGTATCTATCCGTTCACAGGGAGTGGAGGAAACACGTGCATGTGGTGTAGCAAACAATTTGTGGGTGACTCAACGCATGATCAATTGTTGCGTAGGCGCTCCCCAGCAAGTGCAGGTACACTAGAAAAAAAGAACCAAATACCACCCTTTGTGAAGGCATATATATGCATTCATCAGTGTTCTGCAATGCAGAATATGCAGAATCTGCATGTTAGAAACGCGATAAGAACACAAACCCGTAAACTTTGTACACGTTTGAACACCTGTTATTTGGCCCTTTTTACCTAGTGGTACTGGTGCCGATTTCTGAAGATTTGGGTTCACATTTACGTGATGGAAACTGTGATCAGTCCCACCACGCAGCATGTCTACACTGTAGATTCTACCGGCTGCAAGAGTCCCCCTCTTGGCGTTTTGCTCAAAGCCCGTGCCATTTCCGAGTGAATCGTTCTTCCACCTACCTTTCGTCCTTCCGCCCAATGGACGTTTCTCCGCCCCCGGCCTCAATGCACTCGGCAGCAAAGCGATCATCTGTGGGGACGATGGGAAGGCTCTCGGCCGTAGTGAAAGTCCTCATGCAGGGTGTCTGCGTTAACGCTCTTTCAATATCACAGTGCAGCTTCGGAGGCCAAAAACATATCACCAAAGATATGGCGTGTTTTGTATCGCCTCAACAATTACTGCAGGCTCTCGGTGCAAGCACATACGCTGATTCTCAACCTATCCACTACTCGCGTCTTTAGAGATGCACAAGCTGATGAAATTGTAGCAAGACGAGTTGCATTTTTGCATTCGCCCTGTGGAGCTCCGGTCGTTGCTCTAAGTTACAGCTTACGCACTACGCGGACTGCAATCAGCAGTGTGCATATGACGTTTCTATGTATCGCAGGTTACCCATAGGTAAACTTCATATCGATGCGAAACGCAATTGAATACACAACGCAAAGTTGATAATCGGCGCTGCACTCACGCAATATGGAAATGCCCCAGGCGATACACCTGCCAGGTAATTGTAAACATATTTTGAGTGCAGTTGTGCACATAAACCTGCAAACGGCTGTTTGGGCAAGCCAATTCTGGTGCAACCCATGCAGCCACTTTATCAAAACTGCCCAACACAAATTCCATGTAAGCTACAGAAGAGTGCAAGAGAGTGTCATACCACAAGCGGTATATCTGTTCCCGAAGGCTTGTTCCCCGTTGTAGGGTGACATGCAAGAAAAATGCGGCGCGTGCATTGAACACGTGAAATCTGGATTCGCGTTGACATGTTGGGTGGAGGCTGTGCTGGTAATCTTTGTTTGCCCACCGACATACAATGTAGTATTATGATTTCCAGTTCTTTGGCTCCACCGTATTGCAGACTTTGGCGCAAACGGCAGGAGGGCGCCATACACGTGTTTCTATGAAAATGCTTCGCTACAACCAAAAGCTTTGTCTTCTCGAATCTGGTTGATTGCATATATTTACATATGCAGCCCTGCAGTCTCAAAAATCATTGGCACCTTTTTTTCGGCGTTGATTCAACCAACTTAGTCGGTTATGAACAGGCTTGGATTTTACGTTTACGTTTTTTGCGCAAAGACGTAAATTTGCGAAAGGGGATATTTTTTCAGCTGCTTTTACGATTTTACGGCTCGTTGGGACGGCCGTGTTACACGATGAAAAACGTGTACAATGATTAGCCCTCGGCCATCTAAAAGCAGTGCCCATCTCGCCCTCGGCAAGGTCAACGCCAGCATGCAACAAAACTTCGTTTTCTAACCAATCCAGCGCATCTGACTGCCACTCCCCATACTCCCCAAGTCTGTATGTACTGTACTTATGTACATGGGGCTGTTTTACGTTGTATTCACGCACTTTTCGCGCAAAACATAAAAACTGTTTTTAAATACGATCAGTTTTACGGCGTAAGGACCAAGCCTGTTTGTAACATCCGCGATATCATGTCGTTCATGCTGTGTAGTTTCTCCCGGCTGTGCTGTCGAATGGAAGCTCGTGCAATATTGGCACAGTAACGGGCAAGTGGTGAGAAAATGGCAATATGTTCTCTTTAATTACACGCTATGGTCATCATCACCTCTGTAATAATTATTGTAAATTTTCAGGCAATTAGATGCCGTGTAAGCACTGAAAGAAAGTGCGCGATGTCGGAATTTGCCTGCGGCTGGCAGAAACTGTGGTTTGATAGGTATCTTTTGCAACGATTGGACCGATAGTCTGCGAAAACGATACGTGGATTTGACGGTATTTGATAATTGTTCTTAGGTCTCTCCCATTTGCAAGGTCCTCTGCCCTCCTACCTTGATGGACTGCGCGCGTGTTGCAATCCGCAGTGTGTTCACCGTGTCTAGGAAATGTTCTGGATCTGAAGAAACCGTCGCCAAAAGGTAAACCTTGGAGTTTCCCGCCAGAATGGGAGCAAGCATTCGAGTGATGTTGAACTCTCTCCCGGACACCATGTAGTCCGCTGTTGACAATGCGAAAATTGATATTCAAACACTTCCGTGCAGTGTACGTTGTGCCCGGTACCTTGCATAGCGCACAAGAATATACGCGAGCAACAATTTTGAGTTGTGCTTGATGAAGACACCACATAGTAACGCGAAAATCACGTAACCTCAGAAAATTCTTCAATTTTCAAAAGGGTTAAGACACGCACTTTTAATCCTGAGGGAATTGGTATCACAGGACTCAAATTATCAAATACTGATGCTAAAATGCTTATACGGGAATGGAAGGTAAATCCCCTCATATGCCTGAATCTTTGCCACCCGGTTGACAGAAATTCAATGTGGTTTGTTGACTCACGGAGCATTGAGGAAGGCCTCCCTCACCGGAGCGATTGCTGTCTTTCTGGGACAAGCTTGATATTATCCTATTGATCGCCAGGAACTGCTTACTGAGCAGCCTCTTCTCTCTTTCTTCTTCGCCAAGGGTATCGGGATACGAGTAACATGCTGAAGGCCCCTGTGCGCTCAAACTCCTGCTCCCAGCCAGGTCCACCAAATGCAGCACACTGAGCCTGCCAGACGCCTCGCCGAAAATGGACACCCGAACGAATGCGTGGCTGCGGTTCAGTAGCCCGACCCAGCGGCTTTCCCTCGCCTCCCACCTCCAGTTCCTGCTGCGGATCCTCGTCATCAGAATGACACGCAGCGCTTCCTCGAAGCTGTTGACGAGCACCGACTTGAATCCCGCCGCTCCCAGCGGGATGGACGGTGGCCAACTGCCCGTCCCCGCGCATGGGACCTGCCTCCCGCTCCATTGATCCTCCCCAATGAGATCCACCACCTGGTCGCGAAACACCTCCCACAGCGAAAGGGCGATGGTCATGCTCTCCCCAACTGATGCCCTTCGAAAGAGGCTCTGGAGGATCCATGCCAACAGGCTGTTGGGGCTTCCCAGCAGCGCCCGGGTCTTGCCCGTTCCGGACTGACCGAAGGCGACAATGGTTGCGTTGAAGCCTTCCAGGAGCCACGCCATAACGTTCTGCGGTGCAGGGCATGACACTGTCGATCATATGGATCATGTATCCATTTTTCGTCATCACCAAAGACGCGGCTGGCCTGCGATGGCTGCATGGCACGGGCGTCATGGTCCACTTTGAGAAGGTGTTGACACTGCTGGAAGCACCTGTTCTGTGGCTCCAATCCAAAATAAAAAATAGCAGTACGAATATCTTGAAATCGCTGCTGCACCGGTATTCATAGAAACAAAGGCTTTGACAAGAGTTTATCTTCAATTCCACCAGAATCTAAGCTGTCCCCCATTTGCATGCGCCAGTGGAAAACTTAGTCGTCGGGACACCCACGCGGGACGACACGCGATGCCAACGCCCCACCCTCGCGACCCAATGGCCTTCCCTTTGCCCAAGGAGGGGCGCGGCAGCGTCGCAACACCGACAACCACAGAGGGGCAACCACCGCGGAGGGGCGTTACACGCTTAACTTATCCGAACACAAGCTTTCTCCAAAATTGGCAGAAGCACACAAGTTGGAGCATGAGCAAAGTTGGATAAGCACGAGCTTATCCAAAGTTGGCGCCCAGATTTTGCTTGCCGACCATGAGCGCGCCAACCAGCGCCCCGCGCGGCCGCCGACCGTGCCCCCACCTGGCCCAGGCACCTCGAGACATCCCGCCCATCGGACCCCGCCTCCAAGAAGTTGGGGATCGAGTACCTGCGTGGGCCGCGGTCCTCGGCCCCCGGCGCCCGGCAGTCCGTCACCACAACCTTGCCGTTCCTGCGCACCACCGTGGGAGTCACGCCGTCGGGCGGAGGCGCGCAGAGGCAGCAGACGTGGGCGTCCGCCAGCCTGGCGTCGCCGCCGCCCAGCGCCTCCAGCTCCGCGCTCATCGCTTCCATCTGCGGGCAAGGGACGGGGAGCGAATCAGAAGATTGCGTGATGCCGGGTGGCCTCAATGTGATTGAGCAGGGTTGTAAGGATCGGTGACAACAACTGCCGCGCGTGTCGAGGCGGGCGTGAAGCGAGGGTATGTGGGCGGGGGGGGGCTCCTTCGCAAGCTTTCCATGGCGTTCCACGGCACAGTCTTCCAAGTCCGGCTGGCAAAGCGGCAGACGGAAAGGGTGCTCGACGTCGGCGCCATCGGCGCTGGCTCCCCATGCGACTGGCGTCGATCCGATCTGATGGTGTCGCGCCTCAACTTCAGCCCTTTCGGGCTGCGTTCCTGAAACGCCGTGGTTTGGAGACTCTCCGCCGGGCCGCGGGGGGTTGATTGCGCACCTCCTCTGTGACCACGGGAAAAGCCACACTTCCCAGTCCCGCCGGCATCTTGGCGGCGCCGTGGGGTCTCCGTCGCGGCTCTTGGGGCCCCAGCTCGGGTTGGGCCTAGAGGTTCCTCCCTCAGGAAGCGTTTGGCAGACTCGTGACAGGCTGGCGACAGAAAGCCGAGTGCAGAATCGAGCAGCGTTAACCGCAATGTACCGGTGCGCCAAGGGTGTCAACTTGGGCGCATGACATGAGTGCTGTCGGTGGCACGTGCATTTCGGTCCAGAGATTTTTGTGGCGCCATTTCACTCGTGGCATGCAATGCCTGCCAGTGCGAGCCACATCCGCAGCTGAACGGCAGCGATCCTCTGTGAAGGACCACTGTCTTCTGCCTCACATTGCAGGAATGAGCATATTTCACACGCTAAGCCTGGAAAGGTCCCTGCCGCTGCCGGCCATAGATGGAGGCTCGCTTTGACCGCTCCTCATTTCATAACATGGGCACAAGCCGAGACTTCTGCGACATGGTCGCTATTCGACCCTTTTTGGCTGTTTTATGTGGACTGTCGATCGACAGCTAGAGCGAAACACCGTTGGCTTATTGCTGGCAAGCAGGAGAAGCCCAGCACTAACTGAGGCTGCTGCCTTGTTCGCATCTACGCGCCCCGAGAGGCCTCATGCACACTTGCAGGAATTGCAATTCACGAATTGTCCAATAAATAATCATTGATTGTCACAATAGATGGGCAGCAAATCCATGAGCAAACCCATTCCCAACAGGCAATTATCTCTAAGGTGAAAAGATCAATACCAGCAAGGCTTCCAGTGCTCTCAGTGGTGCCCAGTGAAATCGCCACTTTTTAGGACGAGCCACGTCCTATGAGCTCGAACAGCAACCAGCATGCAAAAACTGCAGGTTCTTGTGTCTCTCCCAGCCTTCCATCAACCACTCTCACCCCATCAGACAGGAGGCTACATGACCAGGTGCTGCATAACAACATCATACATACTGCTCTAAGTTCACCTGGGGGCTCGATCAAGCAGCTGGAGGACATCGCCCACAAGATACAGGGACCCTGTCACCAAGACTCGAAACCTTATTCCAGAATAGAGCTTGGGCGCTGTCCTTATCCATTGTAATGCTGACCGCAATGTGGGCACCACAGCTCCCCTTCGAGAATCTGGAAAAGGACACCCAGCTGCCACTGGGATGGAACCATCGAATTTGGGACGCACAATGGTGGGCTGGACGTGTGCCCTCAACCTCTGCCATTCCCTGCATTGCTCTCTTTGCCAGGAGAGATCAACGGAGCTTGAGCACACAGTGCGTATCATTGATGACTTGTTGGACTCAGGTGGAACAAACAATGCTCGATGTATGGGAATGCCCTTTTGCAAAAGCACATTGTTCAGCGACCCAAGGAGCACTTTTGGGTCACGTTCGCTCATGCAATTGAATAGAAGAATGTTTTCTGAGCACTCCCCCTGTCTCTCTTGTTCGCCTCGTTCACGTGCATTTGCCTGCCCTGCCTGATCGGCGAACCATTCAGCACAAGCTGAGAGGCTCTCTGGTGTGTGTGCCCCATCCAGGTAGAATGTCAACCCCTTGCTTTCGCCACATTTTGCATCGCTGTCTCCTGCTGTGCTTGGATTGTGGCCATCCTCGATGATTTGTGCCCGTCCTGGCCATTGAAACTCTCGAAGCCCTTCAATGTATTCCCTGGGCAAGGTGTTGCTCTCAAGCAAGGCCAACCGCTCTTTGGCATTCTTGCTACCGACCTCATCAGCCGTCCTGAGCTCCCACTGAGTGGCAAGTGCCACTGCCAGAGCTGCATTCACCCTTTGATAATTGCTGGGGAACTGGCCCCCACACTGGTCATCGCTGCCCCCTTGAAATGAGTCAATCGGTCGCACCGTCTGAAGGCTTACCCCCAGCTCCTCAGCCCGGCGCTCAAGGGCACGCATTGCCTCCGGCTCCTGTGACACTGTCAGCGCTGGAGAGCCCACCTTGAAAATTCCCGCCTTCTCCGTGGCGATTTCGAACAGGGTGTTTCCCAGAAATTCCATGTGGTCATATCCCAAAGATGTGACGCCACAAACAACAGGATGAGGGATGGCGTTGGTGGCATCCAGCCTGCCACCCAAGCCCACCTCCAGTATGACCACATCCACGCCCTCAACAACGAACGTCTTCAGCGCAAGAAGCGTGGCAAACCTGAAGAAACCCGCCATGGATAGCTCCCCAGACCGCTCCAGCATCTCGTAGCAATGCCTGAAGGACTGCACCAACCTTGCCTTGCTGACTTTGAGGCCGTCCAAGCGTATCCGCTCCCTGAAATCGCACATGTGGGGAGAGGTGAAGAGCCCCGTCCGATAGCCACAAGCCCTGAGGATGTTCTCCACCATTGCGCAAGTCGACCCCTTCCCTTTGGTGCCTGCAACATGCACTACTCTCAGCCTGTCTAGGTCGTCCTCACGCAGGCCGATAGTTCGCAAGAGCGATGGCATCTTAGCCGCAGCCTCTTCCCATGAGCCGCCATCTGCCCTCCTTTTCGTCCGAATCAAGGAATTCAGCCGAGCCAGCACTTCTTCATACTCCTGCTCCGAAGTTGGGTGTTGCTCAGAAGGTGAAGCGTTGGCAGCCATGCCGCAACCCGAGGCAGTCGCAGCCAATTCCATCAGAAAAGCTCTCCAAAATTTCACACCGTGGAGCGCGACCTGACCGATGCAAGTGTGCCCTTCCGCCTCAGTCGAGCGACCAGCTCCTTCCTGACCTTCTCTGTCTGTCGCCTTGCTCCCTGGACATGTCACCCATCCAGGCGACGGCCACCAGCCGTGGTAGGAATTGGAACCGCTGGGACAGTGTACGCTGCAATGATGCTCCATGCGCACCCCACCCAGAAAAAAGACAACGTGCAAAGAGGATGAGAAAAAAGCGACAGAAACTGCACATCCGAATGGCATCTTGTTGGCGCCCACCCGGGTTGCAGGAGAGCCCCGCGACGGCCGAGGCCGTTCCGTCACCCTCAGGGCGACTGACTGTTGGCCTTCCTGGGGCCACCAAGGGCACAAGAGGGCAGGCGTCGCAATGGCGGACCGGCCGCCCAGAATCCTTTCGGTGCATCCGGGGGAGCTGGTCTTCCGAGGCATCAAATTCTTCCAGGCGCGTTCGTCTTTGGATCAACACGCGCTCCCACCACGTGGACGCTGCCTCTTGCGAGCCACTGCAGAGAATGAGGATCGCTCGCTTTGAATGCTCTCGATTTCTGCGCGGCAGAGAACCGCAGGGTTCACAATGGTCCAACTGAGGCGCATGCCTGTGAACAGCGATCTTGCCCCCTTTGCCCAAGGGAATCTCGCCTGTATGGCTTGTGCGCACAACCAAGCCACACGCACACATGGAAGAGAAGAGGCGGTCTATGGCTCAATAGTGTTGATGTCCACAAATTCAAAAGTAGACAAGGCTCGACAAGTGCCCTCTACAGTGTTGCATCTGGCATGAGATACCGATGCCATGTGCTGAGCGCTGGCTCTAGTTTGTTGGCACCGTGACCATTCTTCCCTGAGACCTTGGAACGGGCTTCAACATTGCATCCTTGACAGTGGTGACTCCGCTATGCGATGTATCAGCAAAGTGAAGGTGCATGCATTGATATCCCTTTGCTAAACACAATCTGAACGTGACATGCGGGCTTGTGGGCTGTCGACCACGAAGAAAAGCGTGAAACTTGCCCCTGTACGCCATCCAAGCTGCCTTCTATTTGTCTATGCAGACTTACACACAAAAGATCACTTTCACTAACAGCCTTGGGGCTGTGGTTGATGCGACAATTCGGCCTGGCAGCCCTGAACGGTATGAAGTGACCCCTAGTGAATTGAGTCTGAAGCCAGGCGATAGCGTGGAGGTAACAGTCAAGCTCAGAATTCTGAAATTTGCCCAGAAGAGCAAGGCATCTGAGCAGGGACAGAGAGACATATTTCACATCAAGGTGTGCAACAATGAAAGATCGCCAATGGGTGTTATGTGTGAATGGCCATATACACAGCTGGCAACAACACGGTTGTTGTTCATTTGCATGCTTAAACTCCAAAACTGCAGAGTGGCTGAAACGTTGTGTGGAATGGGCAATTGGGAGTTGAATCATTGTGATCAATATCCTGGATGTCCACAATTTTCTGAGTTTTTCCTTGTCGATCCCTTCCACAGCACATAGTGCCTCCATGAATTATTGCAAGTGCCACAGATTGACTTATATCAGGACAAAATGGCAGGTGTGTGCTTGTCACTACATGGGTTGCATTTGCTCTTTAATACAGTACATCCACGATGTGTGACTGTAATGGTTTAGCCAGTTTCACCAACCCTTCCCGGTTTGAACAAAACTTGAAACATCTGAGCAGAGAGATCGTGGTTAAAGGGCCAAAGGCACATCCCTCAAAACTGCTGCTGTCTTCTCCCAGTGATGCAGTTGCATGCTCCAATGTCCCAAACAGATGCCCAAATAGCCACAGGTGCCCCGAAAATATATCCAATTGACAGCCGATCTTATGCAGTCTAGCGCTGCATTGCTTTGTGCAGTGTATGGCGTCGCCTCCATGCATGTTAGTAAAGTGAGCCGAGGAAACTCAACCTCTGTTTGGATGTTTTCTTTCACAGTGAAAGGTGAAAAGATGCATCCATTTGTAAGGTATTCAATTCAACCCAAGTTACCCGCAGGAGGCTACTGAGCATTTAGTGGGTTTGTGCAGTCCAAATACTTTGAGCAAAAGTACTATGCTACATTCTTTCTTCATCCTGATGAGACGAAGGCTGGGCAAGGAACAAGCCAGGGTGTCAGTGCTGCAAAATCTGGCGTTCGTCACATGCACACCAAACCTGCCGATGAAGAAGCGTCACCAAGAAAGGGAAGAGGCTCCATGTAAGCATTTCAAAGGACCCGAACATGCCTACTGCCAAATTGCACAGGCGATGTGCAGCGATGGGAAAGCATGCCAGGAGCACCTTGCACTTCTGGGCTAGTGAAGCCATTGGCTGGGATGATGGCCACCACCACAGACAGCCACAACAAGCAGCCGCAACATTCATTCTTCAATCCCAGGAACAAAGCAGAGTTCTGTAAGAACTTCGGCACTCCCTGATCTGGGACAACCGACTCTGGCATTCTTGAAGCCGAGATCCTGAAATGGACCCTTCATGGTCTCCTCAGCGTGTCCAGTGTCTCTACGTGTCACGATGGTGGCATATGCCGCTCAAACATGCCATTCATGGATGTACTGTTGCATGGGTGTGATTCATCAAATTCAACAAATTCAGTAAGGAAATTACATGGCATGGGCATGGGCCCTGATTGCAGGCGTGGGGCAGATAAGGGCAATGGGCCGTCAGCGGAGGACATGTTCAATATCAAGGAGGGCAGTGCAATTGCCGAAAAGGAGAAGTTGGCGTCAGAAGCAACCCTCTGCAGAACTCAAGTTGCATTGCTGGAAGACGCGGTGTCAAGACAGCAGGAGACCCTAAGGCGAGCAGCAAGGCTGCCACACAACCAGGGCACACTGTCACTTTCCGCACCTTTGTTTCTTTGCGCAAGCGCTCCTGAAAGTCACCTGACAGGCATTCGTGATTTTGTCTGTCAAGGGAAAAGGATGGCACCATCTCATCTCTTCTCGAAAAGGTGGAATCACTTCGACATGACCATCTCTCTGGCACCGTCTCAGGTGAGACGCTCTGCAGATGGCTGCCTATTCATTCTCCACCATTTCACCAGGAAGAAGATTTCCGCCGAGCAACTGAAGTGCATATCTCATTTGGCAAATGGAAGTTATCACGACACTCTGGATGGTAGGTGGCCATGTGGCTGCTCTGTGCTGAGTGTATGAAGGCTTCGCCATCTACATCTAACATCTGCTTTCAAGCAATCCTTCATTGTAGATGACCGAGCGCACGAGATGGCCAGGAGCAGCCAGAATTTCGAGGGCGAGATGTCGGCATTGCGGGCCGAGAATGAGTCACTCGGAGCAGAACTTGATAATGCGAGACAGCAGATCAACTCTCTCACGCGCTTGCAGCTGGAGCTGCAGGTTTGCATCAAGAAGTACTGTGAATGACTCGTGTCTGAAAAGTTGCAGTCCTGTAATCGAGCATGTCCATCTGGTGATCGCCACTTCTGCACCGGCGTATCCACGCAACATGCCTCATAACACGAGGCGATTTTTGGGCCACTTGACGTGGACGCATTGCAGCCTGTGGGCTTGACACGGCGTTTATGTGTGTCAAGGCGCGGCAGCCCGACCTTGAGAAAGCTGTGAAAGCGGCCGTGTATCAGGAGCAGCTGTCCCAAGACTTGCGAAATCAGAAGGTGGGGCTGAAAACGAAAGAACACAGTTTTCAGAATGTATTGCGGCCATCCCCGCGCCATGCAGCGACAGCCAGTTGTAAGACATTGCATGCCCTCAGTCTTGTTCATGTTGCCAGGCTCTCGACCTACTTCAAAATAAGGATGCCATAATATCAAGGCTCGAGAAGAGCCACGCACAGCTCCTGTCTGAAAATAAACAGATTCAAGGGCTACTGTCCAAAGCTTCTGAGGAGGCTGCCAGAAACGCCTCGTTGTTGGAGGAGTCCTTCAGAGCAAGAGAGAAAATCGAGTTGCAGATGCAGAGGGAACATGCAGAAGCCGCGGCGAAGCAGGTTAGCTCATGTTCTGCAGCAAAGCACATGAGCTGCGGGCGGTGTGGTTTTGAATTTGGGGCGCCCTTGCTAGTTCCGAGGTAATGGTTTTCTTTGAAGTGAAGGACATGGGAATCGACACAGTGCGATCATGTGCCACGGCCTTCGGCGAAGTGACTATTGCTGCTTCATGTTGCAGATTTCCAGAAACTTCACTAGAACGATATGCTGCTACGTCTATTAATCTCGCCTTATGCATAAATGAGCGTGCCCTGCGTGAGAATGAATTTTTTTTTGGTTGATTCCAAGGCTTCCCTGAAGACGGAAATCGCTGCACTTTCCGGCGAGGTTGCAGCGGTACAGAGCCAAAGATCCGACTTGGAAGCCGCCATCCGGGCAGCTGATGAGGCAAGATATATCTCAACAACCGGACACTGCTGCCTTCAATCATTGCTTTGAGTAGCAGGCGCATTTGCCAAAGCATTACCCAAGAATGGGAGCATTAACATGTTCTCGCAGATATCCCAATCCATGGCCGGGCCGGAGTACCACTTTGCATTGTTCATAGATGGGGTACAACTTTGGCCAGAAAATTCTAGAGAACTGAAGAACGTATGCATATTTTGCATGCCAGGCATATTTTGCAAGTCATTCCTCGTTATTGTCACCAGCAATATTTATTCTGATCACATGCACTGCGTAAACTGCATCTGTTGGCTTGGTGCGGAAGAAGGATCCGGATATGTGCATGTTGACACGTAAGGGTTGAACTTCTGCTTCAACTTGCGCCAGGCGCAGGCAAGAGCGTCCAGGCTCGAGGCAGAGCTTGGGCACCAATTCCAGGCTCTTAACGCCGCTACAGAGGAAACCGGGAGGTTATCATCAAAGCTTTCAGAAGCACGATCACGCATTGAGGTGGGACTGTGGCTGTCAGGCTCAGTCCAGTTGATACGCTCATGGCCTTTTTGTGAACGTTGCCTTCGTCGGAACGATCTCGCATCCGGCCAATGGGACGTTCGCATAGGATATTTTCTTTCTTTCCTATGTCAAGGACCCATTTCCATATGTCGCCGTTCTTGGGGCTGATCCGGCTGTTGTCGCTTCCTCCAGGTTTTCCGCGTTATCCATGCGGCTGGCGTGAAGAAATTCCTCATTCCACCTGATTACGCAAATCGCAGTTTAATTAAAATCGCCTATGCGCTTTAGATAGAATTTATGCAACATCGTGGGTGCATTGCAGTTGACGCTAGGTCAAACAGCGCTGGCAGCATGATCTGTGTATCGCCACTGAAGCAGCGATGGCGCGCACCCCAACCATTGTCACATGCACCCTCGGTGGTGCACCGGTCTCTACCATATTTGCGAATGAACAGAAGACAGAAAAAAACGCTGTTGGGCTTTTGCTGCGCCCCTCATGGCTAGCAGCGCGGAGGGGTTTCTGTGTCATATTCGTTTTGAAGCAAGGGTCATCAGATAAAGATACTCAGCTGCGGCTATCCTAGAGACACAAGTGGAATGCGTCCACGATGGCCTGGCTTGTTGAAATGGGTCCTTATAGCATGAATATAGCAATGTATCATGTATCCGTTACGACCGTAGCAATAGCGTCACTTCCATGTGTCCGTACCCTTGCCAGGGAAGTAGAATGTCCACTGCCACGCATTACCACTTGAAATCCCCGTCCTTCAGAAGACCATAGGCCTGCAACGCCAGCAGGACTGCGGGAGCGGATGCAAAGACATTAGCGGCAGTGAAATTCAGCCTCGGGGGCAAAATCGCACGTGCGCTGATACGACGGCCTCAGTGATGCCGCCTATGCACATGTTTTGGTCGAGAAGGTGCACTTATTTTGCCATGGCACAACCGCAGGAATTGGAGGAGTCCAGCATTGCGCAAGGCAAAGAATACGGGACACATTCAGAGGACATGGCAAAAGCGCACGACAGCGATGTCCAGCGGCTTCAACAGCAAGTGGCGGACCTGGAGGACTCGTTGGCGCAGCAGCGTCACAATTCCAGTAGCGCACCGCGGCCCATCAGCAAGGCCCGTCGAAGTGCCGATTCTTTGAATATCTCCCTGGCCGCAGGTTAAAAATAAGTCGCAAAATATGCCCCCACACCCGCGGTTGCGATTTTGGGAGGGCACAGTGAGCCTGGATGATTTTCACACATAAGCAATCATCGATCTGAATCTCAGAGCTCGCTATGAATTGCAAACTCAGTAAACAATGCAGTTATTCACGTTCTTGCTGGAAGCAAATGCCCTTTTTTCACCATTTTATATGCAGGGACGATGCGTTCGATTCTGCGGTGCACAGATCTGAGGCTTGCAGCCTGTAGCGTGTGAAGGATTGAGAATATATTGAATGAGAATACGCCGGCAAGTGTCTCCAGTCCGAGCTGTGTCGAAGCCTCTAGAATCACCATGCCAGACGCCTGTGGACATGCGCAAGCGTAATTCAAAAATTTTGGGCTGCGCGATGGGCCTAAAGTCATTCTAAATGCCACACTAACATATCGTTCATGTCGTGGGATATATGTCCGCGTTGAAATGGAGATGATACATCGATTGCATTTTGGCAGTGGAAGGTAAAGAAATTACGAAATGATTGCAACTCAGCATCGCAAGCCTTAATCCCCACTTTTCCTTCTAAACGCCCCAACGCGATTGTCGGAGTTCCGAAACAATGCAAAGGAAAGAAGTAAGCAGAATATGGAAGAAAATATTTTGAACCGTGGGCAAAGTGTACTAACGGTGTTGCCTTTGTCATGTTGTTGGCTCCAGTTCTGGAGCCGGTTCTTTCGTCCTCGTATCTATCGTATCGTATAGGAACAGTAAGAGATGTTCTTGGAATTCTAGCTTCTGGGGCAAAGGCATGGACCGATTGCATCCAAAAAGCGGTATCACACATGTTTGTGGGTACCTGGGAATATTCTGTAGTGTTTGCAGCAACATATCAACCTCAAAATTGCAAGAGGTGCGCATAGTTTAGGAATCGAAATCTCATGATGCACTGTGCTTGGAATGGAAACCTCTACCGCATTGTTCCTAGGCATCGGCGGGAGCGACGATGCCCCCAGTACAGCGTGTTCCGAGGCTGAGACGGCTCTTGTGGAGAGGCTAAAGTCTCTGGAGGTGGGCACCAATAAATAAATGACATCTTTCCGCAACGAATTTCTTTTCTCTGTACGTTTGATCTAGCTTTCCAGCGTTTACATCACATTGACACCGCCTGTCTCACTGCTGGTGTTCATTACTGCAGTATTTATTTATTTAAGACTATTATTGCAGTACAGAACTGGGCGGCTTTCCCACAACATGAACGGTAACTGAGCTGCTTCGAGCTTGAGGGGATTCTGCTGCTCACTATGTTGTGTAGCGCCTTTTCCAGCTTGCCAATTTCCATTCAGGAAAAGAGGGGGACATTTATTTTTAATGATGCAAATGAAATATGACTGAATTCGCTGCATGGTTGAACTCGCCGCCAACAAAGAAAGTTCTTGGTGTCCGAACCGATTGTGAAAGTACCAAACAGTGAAACTCGATAATCTACTGGCCCGAATTTGTTTGCATGGGACATTTAGCGATACTGGTGTCAATGGAATCAGCATGAAACGCGCAACTCTTCAACGAAGTTTGGTGTCGGGGCATCAAGCCGGACAGTGGTCCGGAGGTGCTGGACAGTATGTGGTGCTTTTTGTACGCCATCAATTATTTCGGCGAGATGGCGAAACTTGAACTCCACAGCACAGCAAAAGTTTCAACATTGCGTTGGCGGTGCGGAAACAGGAAGCCAACGAGCGACTGGAAGCAGCCCTCATCAAATCTCATGAGAAGAGGCAGAACAGTCGCGACTCTTCCGGTAAAGCTTGCATGTGATGACTCATATTGCTCAGCATGTGAAAGAAAAACTGTCGGTTCTGGCCTTGTTCAAACTGCAGCAAATCCTGAAACCGTGCATTGATATAGGAGGCTATTTTATGGGAGCAGCATATTAATGCACGTATTGATTCATTAACAAGAAACATTGATATAATTGTCAAAGAAAATTTCTGCAGCCTTTGTTTTGCAGTCGGCAGTGCTGTTGCCAATCATAGCTGCACCCATCGTAGCCCATCGTCACGGACAACACATCGCATTAACGCTCATCTAGTGCGAAACTGCCCATGAATATCTTTGCAATTCATACCATGCAAAATATGCTCAGATCTTGCGAATCTATTTAATAAATCAAACATAATATGGGTACCATTTCTCCCCAGTCCAACGTCAGTTCGGAGTTGTGCATCGAAATGCTAATGCATGAACAGATAATTCCTTCGATACCTCCGCGCAGATACCTCCATGCCCCAATGGCAAACGTTGCTGCGATGAGGCGCATGGGCGATATTCCATCAATAATGTATATAATTATCTGGATCACTCCTGAGAAAAGGTGGAGAAACAACCACGGAGTTCACGAGATATGTCCATAATCCCGTGGGCTGCACTGCTGATGCGCGTACATCATCATCATCAAAATCCATGGATTACATTTGTCACAATGTCGATGCGCGTACATCGAGATGCACAAGGCGTGAATACGGACAAATGTTGTGGACAATATGCCAGCCGTCATTTTATGGCGTCCTCATGTCATTCGCATGGCTTTCTTGTCACCCACAAAATGCGAGAAGCAGCTTCTTAGCGTGAATTCTTTTTGCCAGAAAAATCACATGATTGGTTTGAGCCGAATTGCGCAGCGGGGACCCTTCCTGGCCTAATTTCGCAACACAACATTTCACGCCGAAGCCTGTCCGGTGACATGACATTAAGTTGTCCATTAGCACCAACGTAATGAATGAAAACACCAAGACCTGTGCTGCAACCTGGCACCCTAGAAGCGAGGAGACTGCGGACGAGTCTGCACGAAAAGGAGAAGGAGATCGCCAGGCTCAACGCCGAATTGGCCCTGGCGGGCGCCGCGGGGGGCAGCTCCCAGGACAGCAGCCCATCCCCGGAGCTGGGCAACATGAGGAGGGAAATGAAGGAGAAAGACTCCAGCATTGCGTCGCTGAAGGAGCGCGTGTCGCAGCTGGAGGCCCTCCAGCGACTGGCGCAGGACACGGCAGTTCGCAGCGAGGCCCAGCTGGATGGCGTGCACAAGGCGCTGGTGGAGGCGCAGGAGGGCAAGGCGAGGGAGGGCAGGGAGAAGTCCGAGGCGCGGGACATGGTGGCCGCGCTAAACGATCGAGTCAGCGAACTGACATTGGCGGAGCAGTGCGCCAAGGCGGAAGCAGAAGCCACGCGGTGCGCGTCCTCGAGGAAGCAAGGAGTCCGTTGCGCGTGCTGCCGCATTTCAACACGTTTTCCCTTTTTTGTTCAAAGTATCAAATCAGTTATATGTTAAAAAATCATGCTTTCCTTTGCTAACACACGCAAAAAATCGACCAAAATAGGCGGTATCGAATCTTGTAGGAATTGTGCGAAACCGTATCGAAACGTGTGAAAACCCGTGTAAACTCACTCAATCGTTACTGCACGGTTGGTCGCATTGTTATACGATGAATACGGTTCAACACGATTTTCAATCGCGCCACACGGTACACGACTTTCAACACCTGTATTTGGCCCTGCTTCTTAACTTTGCATGAGAGCGTCACACCAAACCTATCGCCAAACATGTGATGGACTGTTATGCAACGCTGGTTGTATATTGGAGTGTGAGGAGTACAGGCATCAGAAAGCGGCATATGCGTCGTTCTTGTGATGACGGATAGCCATCCCGTGCGCTGGTCCGTTGCTTCCGCCGTGCGCCCATCAGAAAGAAAGTTGCATGGTCAGATCGGCGCTCAGCAGTGTTGATTCCCGTGATCTATAGCCTGGAAATTGCATAATTGACACCTTATAAGCTAATTAGGTGGTGCGCTTGCCAAGAAATTGTGGGGCCAAGTATTTGTGTTGATATGGCAGGGCTGAAATGGAGAGGTTGGTTGCTAAGCATCAGGAGGAAATCGAGGCATGTGAAAGACGCCAGAGCCAGCTTCGCGAGTCACTTCGACTTGTGCAGGGTAAGAGGGTGAAAGGGGCCGCGTTCTCAAATTTGCTCATGCGCTTCAGCGTGCTTGCGCTCAATGCGTGCCACAAAATTTGCGCGTTGGATACCACTCAAGTTTGGTGCGTAGGTTCAACTTCTAAGCTGAAAAAACTAAATAAACTAAATGATTTAAATACGTACAAACATCGCCGCGCTTGCATGCCCATAAATTGATTTATTCTTGAACTTTTTGTGTCTTTGTATTGGTAGTTTACATTATGATTATGCCATTGAATGTGCTCTTCAATCATCAATTAATGCAGTAACAACATAGCCTAATTTATATTACACGATCTGACGGCGGTACTTCACTCCGCACAGCCACCACCTTTCGCCAAATGTGTGGTTAGGTAATGATTGCGTCACCATTTCGTGTTGAATACTGTGCTTGGGAGACACAAAACAGTGCCAATGTTTTGCGGGTCTCACGTCCGTTTATTCCATTTATTCCATATATTCCTATGAACCTTGCCTGCAGCTTCTGCGGAGCGGCGGCCTGATGTGGAAAAGAAGGAGCCGGGCACGCATGGAGCAAATGACGGTCAGGAGATGCAGGAACTTGTTCTTGGGGAAGATTCGATTGACCAATTTTCGGCCAAGAAGGGGAGAATGCTTTCGCAGGTACGATTCTATTCGTACTTGTCATGAATCAAAGAATCGGATTCGGTGTTAATCTGCTCTCTGACTTGAAATACGTTTACTTGACAGTAAACAAAGCGCTTTTGGAATATACCGTGGCTCTGAAAACAAACGAGTGCTTTATGAAAAGGATTTAGAAATGGCCCCTGGGTTGTTCGCATCGCGTATTTTGAGAATATTTTGACCTAACACACACTTTCGCCCAGAGAGTCACAAGATAGAAAGGCTTACAATTTTAGGTGCGTTGAGGTTCGTATATACTGCACCGGGCGTGGTTGCTCGATGAGCCTGAAAGAAAAAATGTCGCACTGGTGACTTCTCTCCTGTTATTTCAATATGGTTAGAGTCCAATTATGAGCGATGAATCACAGTGCTGCTGTTTCGTTGTTGCATATGTGAGATCTCAACCCCGTCCCTGTTTGTCCCTGTATGATGATTGAGTGCTTGAAGGGTCGCTTGCGAATAGTTTTGGAAGGTTCCAGATGGGGATAAAAACAGTTCTTGTTTCACTTTGAGCATTGACACATTGAGACATTTTTGCGCGATCAAAGCCATCAAATGTCTTGTTCACAGAGAATTCTGTCAAACGTTTAAGTTAATTAACAATATTGAACCCGATTATCACAATCACACTCACAAGGCCATACTTCGTCAGAAACGCAGGTGTTGGTCTTGCATGGCATCGCGTAACCTCGCAGCAGAAATGTGAGATACCACACGAGGCTTGCTGAAACGGTAGCTTACACTTCTGAAGAGAGGCTGCGCATTAACGCGATCGCTGCGATCTGCAGGCATTGGAAGATGCGGAGCTGGCACTGGCTATAATGCAATCGAAGTTGATTGCCGCCGAGGCTGCTCAGCGTGATGCTGAAAGGCAGAAGATCTCCAGTCTAGAAGAAGCGGCGGAAGAACGCGCCATGCTACTGCAGCAGGTTTGCGATTTCATTTCCGATGCAGCCTTCATTTCTGGTCAATCGGCGGGAAACTTTAACCATCAATTTCTCTAATTTCCCGGATAATGCCATGTTGATTTCAAAAGCCATGCTTCCTGGACACTTAAATGTGGTGAACTTCTGAAGCAATATTTTGGAATGAAAAGAAGCCCCGTATTTCATTGCACTGAAGACGAGTGAATTTACGCCGTTTTGCGATTTGCGTCTGCATAAGTGGGTGGGAGCAGCGCAAAAGGATGCGGCGTTTATCTTGGATCATTTGTTTTTGAGGCATGACATCTGAGACGCATGCCATTTCAGGTGCGCAGCGCCAAGGAGGATGGCGCTGTCAGAATGAAGAGCCTCGAAGAGACGATCCAGCGGATGAGCAATCGCAGCGACTTGCACCTGGAGGTGTCCAGACTTTCGGGCGAGAATTGCACCTTGAGAAGATCGGAAGCTCGGCTGAAGTCCGAGATAGCTTTTGCAGAGGAGCGCATCGAGGATCTGAAGGAACTGATGGAGGATTTCAGGCACGCATGGTTCATTTGGCATTCCTTGGCCCCGCTTGAAACTTGAAAAGTCTGCCATGGAAGCGGGCGAACCACCGGAGAAATTATTGTATCGATTGGCAGTTTCTGCTTTGTTCATGATGCCCAAGCATTCGCTGCTGTTAGAGCGGTGCACCCATCTAACAGGTCTGCACCAGTGCATCAAAAGACTACACACAAGCTTGTAGAGGTCCATTTGTGAGTGCATTTCTCAGTGGAAAGCGTGTTGAACTGGGATCCAATATTGCAATATCTGACGAGATCAACAACGCATTTGAACAAGGCCGTGCTCGAAAGATCGCACCACCCCTTCATCACATTCGCGCCTGACCGTTCCCTGCACACTCGGACTCCATCAGTAAAGCGGAAACGCAAGAAACATTTCTGAATATAAAAGTTTAGGCATTAAACGAAACTGGATATGAAATTTTCTTGTGTGAAACATCCACAAAAGCTCGCGCGACATCTCTGCAATGCCATCAGGGCTCGAATGGCGGCGTACGAGGCCCAGGAGAGTGAGCGAGAAGTCCGAAAGCTTGGCGGCGGCCAGTCCGAAGCCTCTGTCGTGGGCGTGAGCGGCATGCCAGAGGAGCTCGTGTCGAATTTGGAAGTCGCGGAAGTCGAACAGAAGCACCACCAGCAGCTGATATCGAGACTGGTGGAACGGGCGGAAAAAGCGGAGGTGGAAGCAGGCCAGTTGAGGGCGGACTTGCAGTCCACGAAGCAGTTGGCCAATGCAAGGGCGGCAGCAGGCAAGGGGCGCCGTCGAAACCTTGCCACTTTGCAGGATTTCTACCTGCTCTGGAACGGAGCTAATATGCTGAAAGTGACTTATTACCTGCAGGACACAATTTCGTTTAGAGATGTGTATGTGTCGCTATCATCATCAAAATCCATGGATTGCATTTGTCACAAAATGGCAAAACACAGCCCGTGCACCTGGTAGGCGATGATGGGCGTGAAACCAAAGCAGATAGTGTGTTGGGAATCGATTATTCATGATTCATGTGTCGCTATAGTCTTAGTAAACCGTCTGATGGCTAACTTTTATGTGATTATGCATCAGAAATGGTAAGCCGTACCCTAATGGGGCGACGGCAATCTTTGCGTTTTGGTTCTGTTGTCCAGATCTGCAATGTGCGTTAACGGTACCATTTTTATGTTCACATTTTTGTAAGAATTGAAAAAAAATAACATCTTGGCTGAGACGCCCAGAACGCGCCTATATTAACGCAATTTGTATTGGGTCGACGCACCCATGTTACATTGTGAATGGTCAGTCCGCCGTCTCACGCGCCGCATAAAGGCGCGCAAACTCCTCCCTGGGGGGCTTCGCAGGTGCATGCTATCACACAATAGCCCCTGCCGCCGCCGCGATGCTAGCATCGGTGCTCCTCGCCACTGCGCACGACTAGGCTGCAGTGACAGCAGGTGGCCTTACACGTCCGCAACGTGCTTGGCAGACTGCTGAACACTGGACGACATCGCGAGCAAGGGCGAGAGCCAATCACTGATTGGCGAAGCAGCTCAGGCTGCAGATCCACAGGGGTCCAATACTTTTACGCGCATTTACACGCGAAAACGTAAAATTGCAGTTACGTGTGAGCACATGTAAATGTGCGTAGCTTTTTTACATGTTTAAGTGCACTGACTTGCATATCCGTGTTTGGTAATGGCTCGAAGGGACCAAAACTTATGCACTGCTATGGCTTTGCGCCGTATGTTTTATTATTTAAATTCAGGTGGGGCAGCGACTGCAGCTGTCATGTCAGCTGCTCATGCTGTTGAGGAACGGCGCTCGGATTTGCAGCGAGAAATTCTAATGAGGGAAGCGGAGCTACACACGCTGAGGTGAGTTTAGTCGACGCATTGGTGGACTTGTCATTTCCAAAGTCCAGATTGATGCGTAACGCCACCGAAGGCAAGGCCACGTGATGTGTTATGTTATGTGGTGGCAACGGCGTGTCGAAGTTCTGCAGAAGCTCCTGGATGTCCTTCTCATGCTACCCGCCGTTAACTTATGACATGCAAATCAACCGGCGGGATTGCAAATTGCGCATCATCAACAGCAGTTACGTCACTAGCTCTTTATCAAGGTCAGTTTTGGTTAATGGCGTGAAGGAGTTACGTATTGTGGTGGATGGCTTCTCTCTGATCAGGTTTGCTATTTACGTTTGCGTTCACGGTTTTACGCGCCAAAAAGTATATTTGCAAAGGGGGCCATTTCTACAGTGTATTTACGTTTTAACGGCTCGTAGTGACACCGAGGTAACACGATAAAAATCGCGCACAGTGATCAGACCTCCACATCCTCGAGTACCCGCACCACAGCATCGACTTCGCACCCGGCAAGGGCCACGACGGTGCGGAACAAAACTTCATTTTTTTCCATTACAGCGCGTCTGGCTGCGGCTCCCCGGACTCCCGAAGGCTGTATGTACTACCCTTAGGTACAAGGGGCTGTATTTACGTTGCATTTACGCAGTTTTACACGTTTTTATTCCTAAAACGTAAATGCGATCGGTGCTTACGGCCTAAACAACAAGCCTGCCTCTGATCTCTGTGATGGACACTGAAGGCAATAACCCTGGGAGTGCTTTCCATCGTATTTTCCTTTCGTCGCTGCTGCGAAGACAAAACCCCATCACTCTTGAGCCTCAATTCTGACCATCAGCAAATTACCGAGGCACTCGTCTTGCCGATCTGCAGGGCGCAGCACGAGACATCCACTGCAGAGATTGCAAACTTGCGCCACGAGCTGTTGGAGGCAAGCCGGGAAGTTTCATCGGCCCAATCACGTTTGGCTGACGCCGAACGGATGGTGCATGACAAAATTGAAGCAGCCGCTCGACGTCACATCCAGACGTCCAGTTCTACCTCCAAGGAGGTCGTGGCGACGAATCGACGGGCTGCAGAGAGCGATCGAAATGCCGAGGCTGCAGTTGCGGCCAAGAAAGAGGCGGAAAGAGAGGCCAGGGATGCTAATTTGGAACTCTCGAAACTCAAGGCACGAACATGCAGGCCGCTGAAGAGGATGTTTTGTAGAACACTGGCACTTTAATTCATTGGCATTTTTCATGTTCACTATTTCCGGAGGGTAATTGACATATAGCAATTGATTACCTGCCCTGCCAGACGTTGCCACAATCCTAGCTTTGCGCAGTTTCAGCAACTTCGAACTTTTTTTGGTAATCTATCGTGTATAAATCAGTTGATGTGGATAACTCTATCAACTGGCATGCCGTCTCATTCGCCCTGCAACTCATGTGGTTTAGCAAAAAGGCGTTTCACACTGAATTTTTCACGAACGCTGGCGAATATCACAGAAGATTTGAATGGCCTTTGTACCCGACGTTCTACGATATCAGACCGTCAGAGATTCGAGTTTTGATACTCAGGACCTCTTTGCATCATTATTGATGGGGATTGAACTTGTCCGTTGCCCAGGTGGAACTGGAGGTGCTGCAGCAGCAATCGAAGCGCGATGTCGCCAAGGCAAATGGGGCGGCGGACTCGGCCGCGGCCGAATCTTGCTCTGCGAAGCAGGACTTCCAGAGATTGGAGTGTGAGGCCGAGGAGCTGCGAGTGCGCGTGTCGGTGCTCCTGGAGACGATCGAGACCCTCCAGGCGGGGGAGCCTGGGGAGCGCGAGCAGCGCATTGTGTCTCTCACCTGCCAGCTCACCGCGTCCCAGTCCAAAGAAGGATTGACGGAGGCGCGGATGAGGAGGTGGGAGGTAAATGTTGCGCACACCTGCCCTGGGACGCGGGATTGCCCTGTCCAGTAGCTAAAAGGCGGCCAAAGCACACGCTCGTGAAAATCGTGTACCGTGATGTACGTGTGAAAACCGTATACCCATCGTGGACTGATCACAAGGTACGCGATTGGCAAAATCGTGTAATTTGTGCGGTACGCAGAAGGGGTCCACCTCACCACAATGGACAACACGATAAAGAATACGGTTTTATGCGACTTCAGCCGTGCAACGAGCAGCAGCCGTGCAAAATCATGTTCCAAAATGCCCGATTTCTACACGATTGTGCACTGTGTAGAATGGCCGATTTTTTACAAGTGGTTTCTGGAATGCGCCCTGGACGATTCCCTGCCCTTGGAATACAAGGACGTGCCTTGTTTTGGCCCGTTGCCCTTTGATTGGCGAATTGTGTGCGTACTCTCAGCAATGGTCAAAAACGTGTACGTGTGTGTACACACGCGCGCGTATAGTTAAAGTGCATTAGAATGTGGACACCTGGACGAAAAGAAGTCTGCAATCGCTGTTTGATGGCGATAAATTTTCAATAATGTGGATATGAATCCTGAGCAATGCATGTGCCATCAGTGTGATCCATGTAATTCTAGCCACAGAGCAACGTGTGTTTTATAAAGTCCTCAAAACCGCAATGGTAGCGTTGAACCCTGTGAGGAAACATACTCAACACGTACTTGAAAGGCAAACGCTTCTCGTGGCCATTTTGCACACCCTTGATGTGAGTGTTTGCTCCTGGATTTTAAAAATATCTTTCGCAGCCCTAGCACACAGACAGAAGCTAAGTGGCTTCAATGTCCGCGCAGAATTGGTGATGCGATCTTGGTATTGCTCACAATATGCGGCAGTTGTCATGCCTGACGTCTTTGCGCACAGGCAGAAGTTAGCGCACAGGAAGTACGCATCTTGGAGCTGGAGAAGGAGGTCGAAAGGTTGAACAGCGAAACACCGCAATGGCAGGCTTCAGTTGCAGCCAAGCAAGCTGCTTTGGAAATGATGGAAAAGGAGATGTCGGCGCTCAGGTGCGACCTAAGTCGCTTGGAGATGCGGCTGGTAGCAATTCATATTGAAACTTGCGTCATTTCTGGAAAATGGTACCAAGTTTTGTATTTCACCGCACATTACTGTACAAATATTCCTGAAATATTGCCGGCAGAAGACGTAATTTCGGTCCTCACGTTGAGAATATTCGTCGCTGATGTATTGAAAGCTTAACAGCGTGAATACTAAATTGAAGGTTTGTTCAGCTGAAAGTATATCATTTTTCGTGTTAAAGACTTGCAGAATCCCGACAAGTTGCAAAAACGAGTGGAATAGGCCCTTAAATGGCCATTTGATGGCCATAAATTCCAATTTTTGGCAGCGTCGTTTTGCATGTTAATCATGAAAAATAACCTGAAATCGTGCATTGATCATGCAATCAATGGCAACTGTTCGTCTGACAGATAATTTCATTTCATTAATTATCAATTACCGAGTCTTAATATCTGGTCGATTAAATATTCAATTGAAACGAGGCGATAAATTTTCCATGCGATTTTAAAACCATCGATGGTTGTCGTCTCACCTTGTTGTGGAACCACCTCCTTCTTTGGCATTGGGCGGTCCAGGTCAGAGCTGAAGTCGCAGTCTCAAGAGATTTGCAGTGTTTCCCGCCGACTGGATGAGGCCACTGTTGATCTTGAGAAATCTGAAGCTACTGCAGATAGTCTGAGAGCGGGCATGAGGCAGGCCAGCAACAGGCATTTCGAGCAACTGAACAGGTGTGAGCATTTCTATTGTTCGCCATTTTCGGATCTTCTCATGCACCAATCTGTTGTATTGTGAGCAGATAAATAAAGGGGGCAGAAAAGATGTGGCGGTAGAAAGACTTAGGAATGTGCTTCTGGACACGTGTCAAATCTTCGGAGGATTTTTCGCGTCAGAATCACATTTATGTTGTATAAGGTTAAAAGGAACGTTTCTTCTCCGGCAATTAGATCCCTGTAACTATAGGACTCCCTGTGTTACAGCAGGAACGTTACGCTGCATTATGTTACAGCTCTTGCTGACGAAGGCAGGCAGGGTCGAGGGGTGGCGATCCCTGAACGGGAATTGTACGCTCGAGTCCACGGCAACGGTTTACAGCCGAGGCAAAAGGACAACAGACGTTCTGTCCTTTATGCTCAGTCCGTTCATCAACATCCTTAATGCAATTCCTAGTGCTTCGTCATCTTTTCATGCATTCAGTCATTAATAACACTCAATCAGTTCTAGCCGTAACATTGCCATGAAGTCATTTTGATATCAATTGCCATGGGCGTTTGACATGATGAAGCGGAATCAATAATCTTGTATTTTGCCACTCCGTTATATACCCATTTGAATGAATGAGTTAATCCGGGATTGCCATTCTCCTTGTCCTTTTAGCCGTCCGATAATGCAGTTTTCATCACTTTTGGATTACCACAATTACGCTGGCAACGAGTAAGATCGCGAAGCGGTGCTTAAATCAAACTGATTAATTGAAAATTGATAACGCATGATAAATGAGTACAGGAAGCCAAGTGCTGAGCAGAAAAGACAACAAGTGTGTGGCAACCGATCAAACTAATTTTTGGTGATTATGCAAACTTTAATTATTGCGTTTTTCATAACATCCACACATATATCCACCCTTTACAAGACTGCACTACCACTACATGCGCCATCGTGACACCATGGTGCCCACGGTGATTGCTTTGGTGCATTTGAGAAATTTTCCGAAATACGATGCACTTCCACAATGGCGCATGGCGCACTCCGCAATACCGGCCGTTGTCATAATTCGCGCTTCGGGATTTGAACGACGCGGATTTGAACCAGCGTGACTTTCCCGACATGTTGCAGCCACAAGCCTCAATTTTCTATTGTGATAATTTCTTTTTTTCTATTTCTATTTCTTTTTTTCTAATTTCTATCTAAACTTCTAATTTTCTACTGTAATAATGCTCTATGGGGTAGGCATGTGTGGATAAATGGATCCCATCCTTGAAGGATCCACCTATCCACTGGGTAGCATAATTCACTAATCCTTCAAACCTGGACCCCAGGCATGGTGGGGATGGTAGGGCAGGGGTATCCCGAAGATTCAAAAATAGATCATTGAGCCTCATGGCCTTGATGCCGTGCAGAGAGCGCACAGCTGCCGCGTGCGCGCTTCGAGCGGCCAAGTCGGAGGGACTGATGCAGCGCCTGGCGAAGGACGGGGACAGCGGCTTGGAGGCCGTCATCCACAGCCTCGCTTCGAAGATGGGCGAAGCCGTTGCGCTGGTGAAGCGGCACTGCTTCGCGGAGGCCAGGAAAGATCAATCGGGCGAGGTCTGCGCGGGAGACCAATGCTGGCCAATCGAAGTGATGCAGCACTTTAGGGTGAGGGCGCCCCGAAGTCTGTCTTGGGAAGAAGCGGCACAAGACCTTGTACTTCTCAAGTAATGAACCAATGAACGCTGTGTACGTTATATAACAAATTATTAAAAATAGTGCTTTGCCATGTAAATGTTCGCATAGGGATTCCTGAAGAGCGGTAGCCCTTTTCGGAACCGCAGACCAGATGGATTTTTTTGTCTCCTGGCAATCCAAGATTTGTGTTTCACGGTTTGGCTCCACCTGAGCCTATGATGGACAGGGTGGCGCAATGTTCTCCACATGTGAGCACGATTTGGGGCGGCGGGAAGCGAGGTGTTGCAGCTGCTGAAATTTCGATATTGACAGCTTGGAGGATTTACTGATCGCAACGCGCTCCGCACGATCTATCTGTTCGCACGCTTGTCCAACTGAGACAGGGCGCAGGGCTCCTTTTTGTGTGAAGCTTCTGGCGGTTGTCTTCGAGAGTACCTGTGTGCAGAACTCAACCAAGAGCGCCCCAGCAACCTGTACGCAGGACACTACAGCCGCGTGGCAATGACAACGAAGATGATATTGTTCGTCCAGATTTCCGTGATTCAGATGAGCGCCGAACAATGTAAAGCCCGCCCCCACATGCTGGCTCGGGACCGTAATGGTTCAAGATGATTTTGGAAGTTTGGAAGTTGGGCGCGGAAACATGGCTGTCGTTTCTGCGCAGGATGCAGCCATTGATGCCTCCAAACGGCTGTACAGGGCAGAGTGCGATGCGCGCATTTTTCAGGCTGAAGCTGCCTCTGGGAGGTCCAAAATGAGGTACAGCACACCACCCATCGCCGATGAATGCACACAGTTGAGGAAGCGACGGACCATTGAAATAACTCATCGGAACGGGTCTCTTTATTTGGCTTTTCATCGACGAAAACTTGCTTGTCGCCACTTCGTTTCGACCCTGGCGGCGATGTCCCGGACAATCCGCCACTCTCAAATAACGTTTCCTGGAAGCGATAGCAGAAGTCTCTGTTGCAGTGAATCGACGCAAATTTGGGTGATGGATTTGGCTCATTACTGACTGCTTCATTCAGTTTGGGAAGTAACGCAGGCGTCACTTTAGCGTGTGCCGTGTTCCCAAGCGATGCTGGTCTATCGTTTCCATTGAGGTTCATGCGCTGATTGCACAGAAGGCTTTGAAGATGTGAGAATGTACACCAAAATGGCATTTGCCGTCAGTTATATCCTGGCGTGCTTTAATATTGTCAAGTGCTTTTGACATCGAACGCTTTGTTGGCTGCAAGAGGGCTAGAAAGTGCTTTGGAGCAGAGGACTCTTGATTGGGAAATCGCGGAAGCCATGAAGCAAAATATCGTCCTCCAGAGTGACCGCCAGAATGATCTCAAGCGCGATCACATGCGCGACAGGCTCGGGTTGCAGGTGATGCATAAGAAACCGAAAGCGGTACCAGGCAGTACTTCCAAATTTCGCCGCCTAGAATGTATTAAGGCGTTCGCGCTAGCAACATTATACGAAATGAAGTTTGCTCAAACTCAGCAAGCATCATTTACTAAAGCACATCTCATTTCATATTAACTGAACAAAACCAAGACTGGTAGCAAGTCTCTAAAGCTCTGCCTGGGAAATTGTATATGCTGTCGAATGTGGCTAGACTCGAAAATTATGGCGTCAAGTGCGTGGCGAGAAACGTATTATCGACATTTTTCCACGTTTCCTGCCTGCGATCTGTGGAAAACAGCACACCAATGTTATCATGGCAATCGTGCCAAATCGGCCCCGCCAAATCGTGCTCTGAATGCCTCTTTTGTAGCTTTTGTATTCTGTTACGTTTAATGCCCGAATACCTGGATAATTCATGTTGTTGTCGCCCCACCGCGCTTGTCATTGCTCTGACAGCTTTTCTGAATTTCGCCTCAGGAACACCAACTGCAGGCTCTTTCCAAACAAGTTGAGAAATTGACGGTGACGCTGATCGAAGAGCGCACCCACCGCAAGGCTGCAGACGCTCAGCTGCAGAAACAGAAGGACGAGGCGGGGTCCCTGCAGAGGAGCCTCCTGTCTGCGCAGGGAGAAATAAAGGTCGCCTTCACGACAATCAAGCTTGCCGTTTCGCACATTCTTATATATTTTCGGACGGAGCCAACTGTTGCAAATACTTTGCGTTCAGAATGCTGGTAACCTTATAGTCGGACAATTCCAATTTTGTTTTTACTAGACCACTTTCTGTAATGCTTCATTTTGGGCCTTTCGCTTAGCTCTCAGCTTCCCAAATGACGGCAATAACTTTCATGTAAAAGGCAGTGCATCCTTTAGACGATCGATTTGTTGGATCCAAATGGCCCCTGCCTGACCGGCATCAGTTGTTCGGTCGGAAGCGGCGCTGATGTTTAGGACGACATGTATCATGTATTGCGCGGCTAATCGTAAGTACAACGCATATTTTTTTGAAATCCGTTGCGATTACATTTGCAAAAACCATGGCAAAGCAAGCCCTGTCACCAAGCTGGCGATGTCAGGCAGTGTTCCCAGAAAACAATCATCAAAACATCAAAACATCAAAAGTCCGTTTTTATGTTCGACTGTCATCAAACGGCCCCCAAAACCGGCAGCAAAGCCAACCAAAGAAAAAGAGAAAGTCGGGCCAGGAAATGTGAAGGGCAACTCCCCGACCCTGAAGGGAGTAGGGGAATTGCAGAGATGAGAGCCAATGAGGTTTGACTGTGCTCCAGAGCTAGAGTGTTTCATTTATCAGCCAGACCCCCCGCCCGAAAAGAGAAGAACACCTGAATGCACCCAGAAAAAACAGAAAATGTATCTGATCTACCCAAACGAACACATGTTAAGTATACAATTATGCTTTTACTATATTAATAAATGTCTACCACATGCGGCGCTTCGATGCTGCGATCCCCCAAGGCAACACGACAAGGCATGAAATACTAGTGCGGCATCCAATTAGTTGATTCTCTTAGTTCTTGGTACATACGAAGGTCGTCTACTAGAAAACTGAAAGATCGTCATTGTTTATCTTGATATAGTCATACTTTGTGGAATTGTTAATTCAATAAACAAAACGACATTTTTGTCAGCAACATTATGTTTTGCGTGTTTAAGTGACAATTCCGTTTTGCGATTAGGTGTTCAAGTCTTCCCTGAGGAGTAAGTTGAAGGCTTCTTACCATGCAACAGAGCCGTATACTGATTCGAGTGTTTGACCCTCCGGGTGCACTGATTGGCCAGTTTTCATTGAGTCATTCCTTGTTACCCTGTTGCATTGGGACTCTCAAACCGTCTTCCGTTCTATCATGTGATGAAACTAATGTGCGGCTGTCAAAGAGTACTGCTAAATATTTCAATTCACGTCCAGAAACTGAACATACAAAGCAGAGTCCTGTCCATTTTGCACAGGAGCTGCAAGAGCTTGTCGCTTCCAACCTGCTGCTGGCTTCAGGGTCGCCCCACGCGTCCGATGCTCGAAGCGTGGAGGACGCCATCTCCATGCGCGACAGGGATGTTGTTTCCTACTTCGAGGCGGAGCTGTCCAGAGTCCTGCTTTCAGCCGACCCCAAGGAGAAGTTGATGGCCTTGACAAGAGAGGTGCAGATGTAGCGCCCAGCCAAGCTGTGTCGCCAGAACACCCAAATCACACAATGCTTGGTTGCGATCAACCTTTTAGGGTCTCGCCTTTGCCCAGGAACGCGTCTCCTGACATATTGGTGTGAAACACCGCACTCTGGATCTTTTGTATTCGGCATTTTTGCCGCCGATTTGCGGAAGAGTTTGGTGTCTGGCATGAAGCTTTGCAGCATGAATGTAGTTGGACGCGCGACGCACCAGAAAGCCTAGAAAGACGCCCTGTATTCGTACAGAGGCGTGCATACGAGATACTGCTTTTGCGACAGCTGTGGCGTTAGTCTCGGCAGAAAAGTGCCGTTGGGACTGCAGCTTAGTTTGAGAGATCCGAAGTATCCGATACCGCAGTCGCGCGCGGCGGCGTGGGAAACGGCCTCAAGGTGGTCTCTTGTTTTCAAGGCGCCCTTCCCAGGCTTGTTCGACCAGACCAATGCCACTTGCAGTGAAGACTGGCACATCATCTGAAACAACGCGGTAATGTTGCACTAAGTACGCATTCGCCAACGCACCCACTGGCAGAGCTTTCAATGCTGCGCACGATTGGCGACGTTTGCCAATATAGAGCCGTCACTTTCGTGTGCGTGTCGAAGGTGTGCGCACTGAAACTGAGCGAGAGCCGACTGCTAGCGTCCCTCGCTGCTGCCGAGCGCAAGGGCGACGGGGCTGGGATGCATTGCGGCAAAGTCAGAGCTGCTCTTGGCGCCGCGGAAGCCAAGATTGCGGAACTCCAGGTGGCCAATCCACTCTGCCTCAGCCCTCAGCAAAATCTGCAACTCGTTACCCATATACCATGAGCAGGGGGTCTGATACGTCCAAATCAAATCGGGCGTACAATCGCTGTATCTGTGCTTCGGTCGCTTACGTTACACTCACGAAGCTCGCAGTAAGAGCTGAGCAATTTCCATAGCCAATGCAGGAGCAGTGTTAAATGCACAGATCGTGCGTCAGCATAATTTTGAGGCGCAGGGAGTCTGAGTTCATCCTTGCCCCAGAAAGAAATTGCGCCTTTCTTCCTCAGTACGATGGTCAGTACGGCATTGCGCGAACTGGAGCAAATTTCAATGTTCGATGACGGGGGGATCGAATGAGCCCCTCACTATTCAACACACCCTCCGTGAACTACGGTATTCCGGTTGAAAATTTTCAATTGCGAAAAAGTTCACTAATTTGGCTTTCAAAGCAAAAAAAATAAATGATTTAGAGGGCTGAAATGCTGAGGCACGTTTGATTTCTGGGCACAGTTGCTAATGGCGGTTTTGGCCGTCATTCCCCAAATATTGATGCTATTAATTGTAATGAATACGGCATTAGTCTTATTTGCTGGATAAGCGCGTTCTTGTCCAGGATAGAGAGGGACACGGCGATGATGGCGCTCAAAGGGATTTGGCCGACTCACATGCCCAGCTTGCTGCCAAGTCGCACGAGATCTTCAGACAAAGGCAAGAGCTTGTACAAAAGACACAGGTGAAGAAACGGAGCATTTGCCCACGGGAGTAGTGCCATCCTTCTAGGGAATCTCTAGAGAGGCTGTGCCCCAATTGTGAAGCAAATGGCACCTTATCGTTGGTGTGGCGTTACCCTGGGAAAGAAGAATTTCTGCTAAATGCCACAAATGGAGCAAAACTGAGAGGATTGCGTTGTTGGTAAAAAACGGTACCTGAATAATGTCCGCCGCTAAAGTTGATTCTGAATACTACTATACATTTCGTAAGAACTTTACAGAAATTGGACACGCAATGCACGTCGATTAATGTGATATTTTCAGTCTCATAATATAAGGATGGCTACCATCGCGCAAAATGTTACCCATACAATTTTGGCTATAGAGCGAAACAGGTGGGTAGGAATGGTGGGGCTGGGGCTCTGCGCGCGCGCGCGCGCGTGTGTGTGTGTGTGTGGGTTGGTGGGTGGGTGGGAGTGGAGGGTCAGGCACATTTCTCTTGCCCTTCTCTCTGGAGTTTTGGAGTTCTCAACCATTTACTGCATGAGCACATTCCTGCAGATCGCGAAGTTTCCAAGTGGCCAAAGCAAACAGGCCTGGCGCCTACCCGTTGCCGACTGTCTCCGACGTGCTTGAGATTTCGGAAAACTCGTTGTAACTTGCATACTGCATCATAGACGTACGCCTCGTGCTCTGAAGTATCAAGCTGCATTTGAGTCGCAGGCACTAGCGTCGAAAGAACTCGAGGTGCAGGCGCTGGAAGCAGAGCGCTCGGAGTGGCAGGCCACACTGAAGAGAGCTCAAGACGGGGCCGAGGCATCTCTTCAGCTGTTAAGAGAGGAGCTCAGTGGACGGCACGAAGATGAGAAAAGGCAGCTCCTGGAAGAAATGGAGGATTTGAGGTCCAAGAACAAGATGATTGCAGAGACCTGCAAGCAAGGCATGTCGCTAATGTGAACCCTGGCGTAGTTTTGCCAAGATGGCGATGCGCCTTCAACGATTTTTGGCTCATGTGACGAGCACTGAAGTGGAAAAGCTCGGTATGCAGAGCGGCTGTACATCGAAAATTTAGATGTAACCAAATTTGCTCTACTGTGTTTCATTTCTCTCTTGTTCATCACCATCGTATTTTTTTGTGTGCAGTCAAGTAAACATCCAAACATCCGCGAGCGGCGCCACGCGTTCTGAATGACGTTTTTTTTATGCCCAGCTCCTCAAACAGCAGACAATGCTGCAATAAAACACCTAAAAGATTTCTTTGCTCAAAACATGGTAATTTTGACAGCCATGTAATGACATTGAAATAGAATGTCAAGTGTTCCGCATCGAAATCTGGACACCATTTTGGGCATCATTTCTAAAAGAGCTGCTGAATAGATTACCACACAAAAGGAGACGCATGGCTCCGGCGATTGTTGAGCAATGGCTCAACAGCACTGGGAGGGCGTAGATGTCATGCAATCGATGTAATATCTGATCGGGCTCAAAACGTTTCCCATTAGATGATAAAAAAGGACGAAAGTGGATTCGAAACAAGACATGTGTCAAATTTCAACCATCTGTATACTGTTTTAGGACACAAGAGTGCATTTTGGCCACATCTGCAATTGAAGACTCGATGAAAAAAATCCAATGCTTTTTAGGTCTCTGAACTGCTAACGAATTGCGCACTCCCAAGAACAAGCAAAATTATCTTTTGCTCGAATTCCGAACATGGACTCAAATAAAAAGCAGCTGCGATTGCAGCGGCCTCCCAACTTTGTTGATGACGGCAATCAAGATGCTTTTGAGTTATACAATTTATCTCATACATGCTTAAATCGCAATCCGCGACGTACCCAAGCACTCATGCCTTTCCTTGATGCATGCAAAAACTGCACATCTTCTTGATTCACACCCATCTCGTTTATTACATACCATTCCTTCATTGAACATGACGGAAAAGCGCTCACTGATTGTGTGTGTGAACATGCCAGCCGGGATAGACGCAAATATCAGACGATGTGCGAAAATTCTGAAAAACGCGCTCGATGCAATCCTAATGTCAAGAGTACTTACGCATGCAGAATTTCCGAAATGGGTAGGACACATGAATCGCATAAATTGCAGATCAAAGCCGCATACGGCAGCGCATTTTCGAACGCAGCGCCGGATTTCAGCATCGGCAGATCTCCTTAAACAGATTTTTGTCCGGCACTGCGCCTGGCGCTCTCGCAAAACTGTTTCTGTGCATTGTATGTGACAGATTCACAGCCTGTACATCAGGCAGATGATACATTGCATCAACATTGCATCTTACAACAAACACAAGAGCTGGGTTTTCATATAAGGATAAGAACACCCCGTATTATTCACAATTTAATGCTGTGGTACATCCCATCCTGATGGCCAAACTTGCCGCCCACAGTTTATCAGGATAACCCTGGCCGCCCTTTCAGGAAAAGATGTACAAACGACTGCTGCAAAGTACTTAAACCCACACCACTTTTCCTGGTCCAAGTCCTGTCGCCATCGCTTGCCCAACGTTTTGGACGTTGAAGGGGATATATGCAGTTCAAGCGATGCTGTGCTGTTTGAAGTGCATCCACATTTTCACAGCTGTTTGTCCGTCAGATTCTGAGAATGCTCAGACGCAATTGGGACGCGAGATAGATCGAATCCGCAAGGAGTGCTCCCAAGACATCGAGAAGGCGGTCGCCGCAGCCGTTTCAGGAAGACCAGACCTTGAGAGCCTTCAAAATGTGAGACGGATGGCAAGCATGCATGGCGATGGTCGGCCGCCAGCCTTCTTTTGGAACCGCACTTTCAAGCTAGCCGGTTCCCGCTAATTTCTAAATAACAAAATCTTCCCTTTAAGAAGACAGGAGTGACTTCGCGAACGCAAATCCGAGCAACAATAATGAAGCTGCACACATTTCCAGAAGCCCCTATTGCCATTTCAGCTCAAATCTCGGATGGATTCATCTAGGACATCTCATTAGGGCTCCAAATCAGTTGGCCCACCGAACTGCAATAGTGAAGCCATTTGTTCGCACTGCAGCAAGCAGAACTCTCGCCATGGCGCCCCTCCTGGCACTATTCTGCGAGGCCAAGCTTTCTTCACTTGGCAGCTGTAATCCCACGCAGGCCGAAGCTCGGGCCGCGACGTATGCCAACAAGTCGGTGGCTCTCCAAGCGGAGGTAACTAGTCTCCAGAAGGAAAACGAGACATTGAAGAAGGAGGTTTGCAAGCTCAGGGCTGAGGTAATGCAACTGGAGGAGTCAAACGAAGTGACAGCGAGCGCAGTGGCCAGCCTTGAGGACACCCTCAGCAAAATCGAGAAGAAATGCGATGCAAAGCCAGCTGCTGCCAGGAAGATCCAGCATCCAAGGTAAGAGCGCCGCGGCTCCCACAAGTACAAAGTAGGCCAATATACACGGTTTCCAGCGTGTAAAAATCGTGCGAAATTGCGCCAAACGTCTAAAAATCATGAACACTCACTCAATCGTTACTACACGGTCTGGTACCATTTTTATAAGATAAATGCACGGTTTGGCACGATTTTATACCATTTTGACACGATCTTCAATCGTGTTACATGCCAATTCTTTATGCACACCGCCGCGAAAAGTACCTCAGGTGCCTAAAATATCCAGCCCTTCCGCATCAGAGAATTTTACCGTTACTCTTTTTGCTCTGCGCTTTCCTTTTCAGAGCTTTATTTATTCTTTCTGCATTGCTCCGGGAAAATTTTGCTAACATTTTCAGCAAAAAAAGGCCAAGCGTTACGTTACTATGAGGAAGGGTTTAATGACTTTTGGGTATCACAGATTGCTAAATTTGGTATCCGCTCTGCTCAGAAGAATCATGCATGGCACATGTTCAGTGGTAAAGGATGCATCGTATTCACGACCATGAATGATGTACGGATATCGTGTTGGTGTTAGTTGTGCATGGAGTTCTGCTGCTTTGAAGTCAATTGTAGAATAGTATCGCTATCGGCATTGAAAAGTAGAGGATCACAGATCCGTAGAAAGTTTCGATATGAAAACGATGAGACGATCGCAGCCGCGAGCGCTGGAAGTTCGCATGTTCTGGGTGGCTGCCCACGCACAGCGTTGTGCAAAATGAGCAACTTTTGAAACGCTGAATTCTAACGGAAAATTTCCGAAATTATCGTTGTAAAAATTACAAATATTATGCTAATAACATAATCCGATGATATCATAATATGGTAGTACACCGATGCGCAAAATAGCAACAAGCTCGGAATGTTCAAGAAGTCAGCTGCTTGAACCATGATGTGGCTACATGGCGTCAGCTGACTCTCTGCGCAGGATAATACAGCATAGAAAGAAAATCGAATTTTGCTAAGTTACTGCTCTAACGTATAAAATAAATAGATTGATGCTCAACATACCAGACCTCATATATCGTTCTGCACTTGGAATTGGGAAGCCTCATACTTTCGGCAGCCACATATTTGGAAAAGCAGTGTGGACTCGACCTGTCCGTCACCACCTCTGTCACCAATCTTCCACTTTCGACAAATCATTGGGTGCATGAATCGCGCGGAACCTCTGATAATCATTCTTGTCAAAAGTTGCGAAACATTATGACACATTGCGCATCTAATTTAAACATCGTATGGTGTGTTGATGCAACCGCCACAAAAGGCACCTGGCAGCGTACCCATAGCCATCTTCTTGCCATTCAGGTCGATCACATTCTGGTGTTTGGGATTGTGAATGTTCATTTCACATTGACAGCCTTTAATTGGCCGGCGCCCCCCGCGCTTGCAAGAGTGGCTCCTGCCATTTTTCGGCAATTTTGTGCCATGGCGTTGTGTTTGAAGGATTAAGGAGGGGCCCAAGAAAGCCGGTTCCACGAGCGAGGTAGTGGACGTTTCCCTCGCATCCCTGTCGCGCCAGCTGGTGCAGTCCAAGATGTCGGAGGCGGATGCACAGCGCAAGCTCAGGGTTTCAGCAAGGTAGGAAGCCCGACAGGTCCCATCCACTTGATTCACAGAATTGCGACTTTAATGCATGCTCAGTATAATACTGCCTCCGCCATACATGTTCAATATAATACTTCCTAATGCTTGGGAAATATTGCTTAGTACTTGAAGTATGATTGACATAATACGAGTACTTAATTGAAAGAGCTCTTCTGTTTATAGCACAACATTTTCAGAACTGCTTGCTTGCTGTGTTCCGTATGTGGACTTCATGCAATCGCTTGTGGGAATCCGGGAGACCGCAAACTTGAACTGCTCTATGTGTTGTCGCGGAGGCGCGATGCAACGTCGATCTATGCTTAGTGCTTTTTTGTGTGATAAATTGGCTTCCCTCTCTCATCTGCACATCCCGAAAATATTTTTGGAGCCTCAAGTTTTGAAACAGAGCTAAGAACTTCAGGCGTTCGCATGGAGACACTGTACGATCAGTCGAGCACGTCATCGTTTGTGTCACTTGAAATAGCACGTGTACTTGTGAGAACTTACTATATTATGTGCCAATTTTTTCATGTCTCCTTTCAGCTTGTAGTGAGATATCACGGAAAGGGCGACGTCGTCTGGTACGTTTGAGGTCTTTCGGATATCTACGATACGCCTCGTCGAATTAGTTTGCAAAAAATTTTGTGGCTCGCTCCTGTTTGCCTCCGTGTATGTGAATTGGGTGAACGACAGAACTTTTGAAACTGAGGCTTTATAGCATATACTCGTGACCGCCTCGCTCAAGAATGTTTGCAAAATTATTCTGCCACTGTTGTCACCTGGACGCTCCCATCAGAGTTGTGGTTCTCCATCGTTGCAGCGGAGCTTCTACAGTCAAATTGGGTGCAGATAGTTGGACATCCATTTGGAAACGGTTGTCAAATGATACTGTGGTTCGTCGCCCTGGAAGAGTGTAGTGGGTATTTAGTTAGGAATTTTAATTGCAACCTCAAGGAATTTTGGTGAAATACGGGGAAAGAG